TAACCTAAACCTTCGCCTGAACCTTAACCTGATCTGGAGGGGTGGACCTTGCTTTTTTGTTTAATGGGCCTCGAGATCTAAGGAGCCTAGGTATCGAAGGTAGCCACTTGATACCGTGAAGATGCAGATGTTGCGGAATGTCTCAATTTTCATATTATGCCTTGGTATGCCTTGAACTGGCCTTGAGAACCCGCCACCCTCACACCCGAGACCCTTGATGAAGAGGGAGGCCCTTTCTCCAAGGTGACCGACGCCACCAGCCGTAGTATTGCACCACCGGATTCACCAACATCGGAGAAAGCCGACGACTGCCACAAGACACGCAGGAGCGGCGACAGGATTTTAGTGAGTTTTGGGGTTCGGGATCCCGGGATGCTCGTAGAACACCCTTCTGAATTCCTGTGCCAGAGTTTTTTTGTCAACTTTTTTGCTGTTTTTTTTCTCTCCGCCTTGAAGGAACAGCCTGAACAAGTACAAGTTTAAGGGGATGACGACGACGATGTCTCGCACCATGAAGGCAGTGAGCTGGCTATAGACAGTCGGCTTTCAGATGTTTGCTTTCCTATAGTAGTTGCTCAACAACCCCCCCCCCCCCCCCGAAAAAAAAAACAAAAAACATATTCTTCCTTATACGGGTAGTATAGGGATCATTCAAAACTTCTTTCGGGGTTCTTAAGCAAATCGTAGTTTCGGTTGATTTGACAGCAAGTACGGTTCAAGCTGGGCCACGTCGGCATGAAGGAGTAGGAGCTGAATGCGACACCAACCCCCTCACGGCACATTCTCTCCAAGGTAGTTGCACTGCTACATGCTGGAAAGTAGTTTTTTCGAAACCCGCGTTCGGGCCGCTGGATTTGACTCTGCATGACTCTGCTATTCTCGTTGCTCGGGTTTTAAGAGAATCGTGCGGAGATCCTGCAGAGAGCGCACGCAGGCCAGCCCTGGAGCGCACCCATTCCCCATGAGCGAGCGAGCGAGCGAAGCGACCTGCAAAGGAGGCTAGGCCGAAGGTGCCATCCTACGCCCACCACCTGCACCGCCAAGAAGAGTACTTCTCGGCAGGCGCAGAGAATCCTACAAGAAGCCCAGGGGAACCACAGAGAACCCCACAGAAGCCCACGAGTGCCTAGTTATCCCAACACTGTCTCCCACAGTGTATCATATCCCCAATCCCAGATGATCCTGGCAACTAACTTGGGACTCACGCGACGCGAGAGACCCGAAAGGGGGCCTAGGGTCTTGACACTGCCACTCTCCTGGCTAACAGACTCTTCAGCTCATCCCTCGCACCGAGCCTGAAGTTGCTTGGCAACTAGCTGTAAGACTTCGTAGAAACCAGAAACCAAGGACATGCCAGCCTTTGCCATCAGAGAGGAGGAGCGAGTTGATCACTGGCTGGGACGTCCGCCGCCTGAGGTTGGGTGGTGGGCAATGCCGGCTTCTGTCCTGGGCATCGGTTGGAGGGATTCTGAACCACACGATTCCCAAAAGGAGTGCTGGCAAGGCTTCAAGCATCTTTTGGTCTTTGGGGACTCAAGATCTGCTGTGGCAGTGGCTTGGAACACTTGCTCTCGTACCAACTGCCAGTTTTGTGTTGATGCTCTGCCAAACAGCATTCACGAAACGGGAGTCCCGCCGACAAGATGGTGCCTGGACCCTGGAATGGAAATGGACCCACCCAAAGCCAAACTCGTGAAGCAAAGTCCTACTGCAACACATAATTACGTCCCCATAACAATGCCCCACGTCCAGCTGCACAGCACGTAAAATTCTTGAGATCTGAAGCAGCGCCATCGAGACACATGAAGTCCTACACCTGAACCCAGACCTCAGTCATTATCTCAGATCCTGAAGCCCAAACTCCGAAGCCTAATTCGTTGAATCCGCAACAAAGGCTTCCACCCCACGGAGCTTGTCTCCCAGCTGCATTGATAAGGGCATGATGATTTTTTTTGAGGAGTTTCGTATAGAGCTTGTCAGCTACGAGTAGTTGCCTCGTTCAGTCGGGGTGGACAAGGTCCCTGTTCCGGTGCTGCATAGCTGACAGCGGAGGTGAGATCATCTTGGTTTGAGACATCTATGTGCCCCTCAGCTGCACTGCTGAGCTGCCTTAAGACTATAAGCACACACGCCGCCCCATCACGGAACCCAGAAAAGGCATCCTCATCGTTCTGAACATGGTCGTCATGGCCGTGCAGGCCAGATCGCGCGGCTTCAGGGTTCAAGCAACCAGAAGCTGCTGTTGTTGATCCTGTTGTGTGAACGGTGCAAGGCACTTGTTCAAGAGCAAGTGCAGCATCTGATCCACCCAGTTCCACAATTCTACAACTGAGGCTAAGGCCGCTACTGCTTCAGCAGGTTAAAGAGCCTCACCCTTTCTGGCCGCAGGGTGTTTGGCAGTTGGGCACGCGGTTTTGTTTTTTGGGCTCCCCTCGTCGGGACCTGCTCTTCAGCCCTGCAGGTGCAGTATCATGGACTCCAGACAGGTTTTGACGTGGAAGCCTGACCAGATCATTTTCAAAGTTGAAAAGTGTAGGGTTTAGGGTTTAGGGTTTAGGGTTTAGGGTTTAGGGTTGGGAGTTCAATTCGAGTTTTTGGGGGCACCTGGGGGCGTTCGGCGACCTCCACTGCGACCAGCTAGCCACGAAGCAGAGGTACTTGTCACTCCGAAGTAAGGCTTTGAAGTAGTTCCCCACTCGATGATCCTTGAAGCTTTCCCCAGAATGCATACATGATGGAGAGTGCTTTGTCCGCCCTCAAATGCCCACCACAACTTCAGGGTGTGCTCAGCATCCGAATGGGATAGGCTTTTCGCCATCTCCTTCGCTTTTTTGCCTATGATTCCCGAAACGCTGCACAAATTTCAGAGCTGCTGTGTGAAAGCTTTGCAGAGAGTCTGGGCTTTGTTGCCTGCCGAGGCCTTTCCGGGCTATGAGACCGAAGCAGCCAAGCTGTGGCCAGGGGCGCGGCTGGCGAAACCTAAGCCTGTAGAGTTCAAGCCATAAGCCCCATCTCCAGTTGCAGAGTTATGGGGCCCTTCCGACGGTCCGGTTTCAGTCTCACACTCATGACCTGTCACGCTGCAAGTTCTCGTGCCTCCTCAAGAGCTGAAACGCTGGAGCTTCACATGCACAGATCTTCCTCTCAGAGCAATGTGGACTCCCCAAATGCTTCGGGTTTAGAAGGAAGTTGCGCTGCTGGCATGCTAGGAACCCTAGCTTTCACGAACAGGTTCGGTTTCACGAGCATTTGAGGAAGATACCTGGAGATTCACATCTTAAGCAACGCAGCGCGGGGAGGGGGGGAGGGAGCTGAGGGGGGGGTGGGGTGCTAACAAGCTCAAAGCCACGTCAAAATGTTTCAAGGGCCTCAGCCTGGCAAAGTCAAAGAAACCAAGCCATCCCCGCTTCGACTCACACTCAGACCAAAGAAAACATGCAATTTAAGGCTCGGCAAAGCATGAAAGGGCTGTGTTGACCCACGCTGATACTGTTTAGGCGACTGCAGTCCACCCCATATGTCGTGCAACATTTTAACAGCCCGCGGCTAGGCAGGAAAGCCGTCACTCATTTGAGCCTTGAATGGGCAGAAATGCTGTAGCTCGCAGTATTTGGAGCTTGCTCATAGGCGGACATGCAGTAATGTACAGTCTTCGGAGCTTTGCGCACCAAGACCGAGTAGGGCCTTGATTTGCTTACTCGTATTTGACATTATATTTGATCCCTGGATTTTGATTGTCTTTGACGTGAAATGGGTTTTCTTTGGTCCCTCACCCTGAGAATGGTGTGGCAATCCACAGAACCGGGGGCGCATAAAGGCTTAGCTTTTGCGCGCTGGCGGGCTTCGAACATGAACGCTGGGTACATGGATCTCGGGTGTGGGGGCGCGCAAAGACCGCAGACCATAAGCATCTCCAAGCATTGGAGGTGCTTCAAGCAAGCCTTCACCCTTTCTCACCCTAGCAGATATAGGTATTTCCCCACATAGGGATACCCTTTTGTATACCCGAAATAGAAAGGGACCCCCCAAAACGGGTACCCCTGTTTCCGGAAACCACCATTTCGATCAATTTCTAGACACTCGCCTGGCAGGCGGAGACAGCTTTCAGGGCCACGGAGTGGCACCGACTGCAAACTGGAGGGTCGCAGAAGGGCGTGCCACGAACCCTAAACCCTAAACCCTGAACCCTAAGCCCTAAGCCCTAAGCCCTAAGCCCTAAACCCTAAACCCCATGTTAGCCGGCTTGTAGGTTCAGTTTAGGATCTTTCGGCAGTTCGGCGGCGTCAGGGTGCAAGAGCATGGATTTGTGGCTTCATAAGAGAGGGTATGATTCCTCCAGGCGCCGGCCCGCCGTAGAAGAGAGGGGTTCGGTGGATTTTGGGACGCCTGACCAGGAAACGGATTGAGGTTCTGAGAGGTGAAGTCTTGGCCTAGGCCGTACTCCCCAGACTGCAGCCTGCAAGTGGAGGATTGTGTGAGAACGAAGCTAGTGCAGCCACCGCCCGTCGAAACTGAGGTGGTTCTTTGGAGTTTGCTTTCTGGTTGAGACACTTGGGCCCAATCTACACACGTTGCGCACGTCGGGTGGTTTTTGCCGGCCAACTCGTATGAGTCCAATGTCACGTGTTGCCATGCACGCAATGCAAACTTATGACGCTACCAAGGATCGTCATCAGAATCCTGGGCTGGGGGCTGCCGCTCGGATCCATTCACGTAGCCGAGCGGCCCCAAATCCCAGACTTGAAGCCCTGAGCCCTTGCATCCTTCAAGCGTGATGGTCAAAAGTTCCGAAGCACCTTCGGCACTTGATGGAATGAATGTACCACAGTCCGGCTGCAAGTTGTTTGACCAGTTTCGTTTCCTCACAGCGTGCTGGATCCGGTTTTCTGAGTAATGAATTTGGAATGACATGGATGCGCAGCTCAACCCGAAACCCTGCCCAAACGGCCCCAAACCTGAGGGCATTCCCGTTTGACTTCTGGAACTGGTTTGATGGGGCCATGGTGCTCTTGTGGCTCCTCAGCGAGACCGCCTTCTCAGAGCCCTGGCGCGCATGCCTTTGGAGATCCGAAGGGGGGTGCGGGGTTTGGAGCCCAAAAGCTTGAAAAAATGCGGGAGTTCAGGGCGCCTCAGGCTTGTGGCAATGTGCCATTTTCTACCGTTCGGCACACAGAGTTCTGTGATGTTCTGTGGCTTGGCCTCTTAGCGCATCCTCAGAACATGGACGACCGCGTGCTCCGCCTGGCGCGCACGGCTCGATTGCTTCGCCCCTCGCGCAGCAGGGGCTACACGGGTTATAGGGCTTGCGTGGCCAAGGGTTTCGGGTTTAGGGTTTAGGGGAATGCTCCAGTCTTTTGGCATCCTTTTCGAGGCATAGAATCAGACGCTGAATTGGAAAGGGCGATGCATTCTGACAATTTCTTCGCATGAGGTGTGTACCAAGTCTGGAGTGCAGGATTGCGGGCAAAGGCCCTGGAAGGGCTCCAAGCCAACAAAGCCCTCAATCTTGCATCGGTAGAAAGACGTTGTGCTGAGCTTGAGAACCTGAAGACGGAATGTGGTGCTCCATGAGGTCTGGTCCGGGTGATCCGTATGATTCATGGCTCCTTGGCAGCTGACCTGACTGGAAGGGTGTGGGAGCAGGGAAAGTCTGCGCAAAGAGGGGAGGCTGCAGGGCAATAGGTAGTGGGTGGTAGGTTGTGGTGGTGACCAGCGGTGGCTGGCAGACAGGTGATAGTGGGTGGTGGTGGTGGTGGTGGTGGTGGTGGTGGTGGTGGTGGTGGTAGTGGTCGTGGTGGTCGTGGTGGTCGTGGTGGTCGGTGGTGGTCGGTGGTGGTCGGTGGTGGTCGTGGTCGTCGTCGTCGTCGTCGTCGTCGTCGTCGTCGTGGTGGTCGTGGTGGGTGGTGGTCGTGGGGCGGGTGGTGGTCGTGGTCGTTTGTCGCGGTAGTGGCAGTGGCAGGAATAGTGGTAGCAGTAGGGCAGCAGCAGTTGACGGAACACCACACGAGCAGCAGAGGGTGCACTTATTCCAAGCATCCTCTTGGGAGGCTTCGACTCCCTGTACTTGATGATGACGGCGATGAGAGGAAGTGTAGTGCCCTGCTTCATGTTAGGGCCTAGGGCTACTCGTCAGGCGGTGTCAGGAGAGGCCTTGCCGCGGAATATTAATGGTCCCCAAGAAGTCTCCTGGTCGCGAGGGCGATTGAAGTGCTACATATTTGTACCAGGGCATCAGGGCGACTGCCAGCTACTTTGGGATCCTGAGGCCTTAAACCCTGAACGAAGCACCTGAAGCCAGTAAATGTCGAAGCAAGCGCAACATTACAAAACATTGTCACGCTGCCGGAGGCCCTTCTGTGTTGAGGGTCCCTTGCGCCGTAAGCCCCCCACATCTTAGCCCCCTGATCCTTACAGAGCCGGAATGTCAAGAAGTAGAGAAGTGCCGGACTGAGGCCGTCCTCTTTTGGTCCTTCATCTTGCTCCTGGTTGCGCAGCCCTGCTTCTATATCCCCCTTGGGGAATTATTTATTATTGCTCATATAAAACCCAAGAGGATATTAAACATATTTTTTGCATTCAGATTCTAGGGGGAGTCTAGGCTTCTGAGGGGATGGGTTGAGTTGGGTGCCTGAGGGGGGTTATTCCTTCGTCCTTTCGCTCACGACTTTCGCTCATCATCCCCCCAGACGCTGTGCCAACATTAGGGGTTGGTAGGGTTTAGGGTTCAGGGTTCAGGGTTTAGGGTTTAGGTTTCAGGGTTTAGGGTTTAGGGTTTAGGGTTTAGGGTTTAGGGTATTGAGTGGCCTGCGAGACGCCCGCGAAACGCCCGCGAAACGCCAGCGATGCGCAGACGCTAGTCCTGGAGTGCTTGGAGTGCTATTGGGAATTGGTGTATGTTTGGAGGACCCCTAACACTCACTGTTTGGGTCTAGGCTGTTTTATTATGACTATATTTTTGAGTATCATGATAATTATGAAAGGTGTGCGTAAACAGAGTCTAACTAAATCTTCCTGTGCAAGAAAGAGATTAATGTTCCTGTACGTCAATGAGCTTTGTTTGATGGATAGAAAGCCCGAAAGAGACTAAGTTACATGGGGTTCTCTACGCAATTCAATATAGGAATGTCATTACCGCCAGAAGCTAGGCGTGTGCAGTCTTTGTCTTGGATTTGGAGATTGGCTGACCGGCCCGTGATCCCCGTAGGATTGGTGCATGGGAGCCTGTTATGAAGATGTTATTCATACGGGCCGAGAAAAGATCACCCACAAATGCTGTTATGGACTTGGACTTTGGGCAGCTTTCCCACCCTGCCCCATCGATGCCTCCAAGAATTGCATGGTTACCGCGTCTTACTTATGGACCCTGTAAGCGACAGACACCAAAAGACCCTTTCATAGTCGTTAGCATATGCGTGAATTTAATGAACGAGCTGTTCGCCACCGTGGGTTTTTCCAAATTCATGGGTGTATGGTGTTTTGTTTAAGCCCGAAAGGACTTCCTGAGGAGATAGATCTTGCACAGAATGCGACGCTTATACCAGGCTTGAGGGATCAGTCTTGGTTCAGCTGAGGCAGATTATGATAGCTTTTCTCTTGAACGAGATTCTGAGCGCCACTTACTTGACAGATGAGCAGCTTGGCAAGATCTTCAGTTGCGGCCCTAAGCAATTCAAAGCCCCGGTCACAAAGCCGAAGCCCAGTCCCGGGGTTTAGGGTTCAGGGTTTAGGGTTTAGGGTTTGGGGTTTGGGGGTTTAGGGTTTAGGGTTGAGGGTTTAGGGTTTAGGGCTGCATGAGATTCGCATGCAAGCTGTGCTGCGATCTCGAGATCCTTTCGCCCTTTACTTCGACACACACTTGCACGGGGCTTCTGTTTCACTTGAGGGCCACCTCTACCCCTTCCGAAGATGCCAAGCCAAGGACTTACCCAATGGAGGACCGGAAAAAGGTCTTCGCCTATTTCGGCACTTGCTCCAGGGCCATCCTGAGCATGTTCGAGTGGCCTGGCCAGAGTTTGGTATGGCTGAAGGATGCTGAAGGCAAGCTGCAGCAAGCAAGCCAGGTACCATCCAGCATCATCAACAGCTTACAGGAACTGATGGGCTTGCCATAGCTAAAGGGCGCCGCATGGCTTGGCCTTAGGGTTTCCAGGCACCTTGCTTGTGGTTCTTCTGCTTCCAGGGTTCTGGGTTTAGCTGAAGGCATTCAATCGTGAACCTGGAAAGATCCTGCAGGGTTGTTTTCCGGATGCCTTTGCAAGAGGTTGGAGAGCCCCTGAAAGATCAATCCGAGATATTCGCCCTGAAGCAGCCATCAGCAAGGCGGCTGTAACATGCTTCTCAGGTTGACATTGGGCAACTGGCCAGAGATCGCACGGAGATTTGGCAGCATGTTGGGGTTTGTTGGTGCAGGCTCGGACGCACACCTTGATTGCTGAATTTGCTGATTGTTGTGCTAGCTGCAGACACTCCAACGCCCGCCCCACAGCCTCGAAGCAGCACAAAGGGCACACACCCTGGGAGCCGTCGGGCTAGGCAGGCGCCATCGCACAAGTATTATGCCCCAGTCGGGAGATCCGCGAATCTCAGCGTTGTACTCTGTGCCCGTTCCACAGGCAGGTAGGTTTCAGCAGCATGGGCAGTTTTGAGCCCAGAATGAAGCCAGCGTGGGCTGCTGTGTAAAGCTCAAGTCTAAGCGCCACCTTTGCTAACTCACGCCGGCGTGCCTTCGCTGGGTCTGCCTTTGCAGCGTTCCGGCCCACGCCACTCCTCGGACTCCTCTGAGCATGGCTCCCAGCTTGCCAGCTTGTTACTTTTGGTTAGTAGGGGAATGGGGGAATGGGGTACCCTTTATTTTCCCCCATAGATACCCTTTAAGGGATTACATAGGGTACCTCATTCCCTCATCCCATACTAACCAACAGTAAGGCTTCCCCTGGCCCGTTGGGCAGGAGTCCCGCTATCCCCTCTCGTAGCGCTGTGTCACTGTGTCCAAGCTGAAGTCAGGACGCCGCGCCGATCTGCGGCTCCTGTGTTTATGGTTTTGGACACCATCGGGTTTGGCATCGGAGCCCAATTAGAGTACAGAAGCGCTGCATTCTGATATCCTGAGGATTCTGCAGGACAAGGTGAGTGAGTGGTACTTCCTGTTCTCCATCGCGCATAAAGTGACGATCGGGTTCGCAGTGATCGGTGTCATCAACGGCGTGTTCATGCAGGCCGGGGCGGTTGAGACCTTGCTGTAGGGTGGAGGGCGTTGGTAAGGACTGTAGCCAGCGTAGTGGTGTAGCCCTACGGCAAAGCAGAGTAGGTGGCATTTTCATCATGAAGTACTGATGTCAGGAGACCTTCAAGGTTGCAGGCTCGGATGACAAGATCATGATGCGCCAACGAGCTTCTTGGCAGCTGTCTCTCCACCACACCTCAACCCTAAAGCCTTAAAAAACCTTCAAGTTGTGGGAATTCCTTGCAAGTAGCTAAGCGGTGGCCAGAAGTTCGCTAAACTGTCACTCTGTGCACATGAATCATCCGACGCATGGCCCAGGAGCGAGAGCGCAAGCTTCACACCAAGAAGATGAAAGTCCTGCCTCTCGCCCATCTTGCTTCGCAAAGGGCTTTATGGTTTTATGCAAGCCACAAAAACACTAGTGCACCCCATAGAAGCCTTCACATCCGAACGCTGGGGGATGGTGGAGTGCGGCCGATTATGGGCCTATGGGCGCCAAAACCTCCCTAGCTGATGTGGCAGTTGACAGCTGTCCTTGCAGCCTGCTAGCGCCCGCCACGCAAACACGTTTCCGTGGGCGCTTCGCGCAGTCACTTAGGGCAGAAGTGAGAAGCGGAAGCTTAGGTTCGAGCACGCCGATGAGTCTGGGGATGGCATACTGGACATTGACGTCTGCGGCTCAGTTGCCCTCACCAAACAGAGAAGGTCAATACATGAACTCGGTATTCTAGTCCCGGGTGTTGGTTTCAGGCACCTTCGGAAGGGCGGCGAGACACTTAAGATTCACAACCGTTCACAACCTTCCTCCACAGATGTCGGCTCATGCTGACGTGGCCTCCTGCCATTCGGAGGATGGCACAGGCTGCAGCTTCACCAAATCCATCCTGAGCACACTCGGCTCGCGAAACATCCTTGGAGCGTCTGCAATTTTAATAAGTTTGCCGGCGAAGCGGTGTTCCTTTGCGCCCCGGCTTTAAGACCGATGGGTTCGTGTGTTCGTGTCTGAGACTTCCAACGGACGTTCGAAGCAGCTTGCCCTTTCCGTCCGAGTTGACGTATAAAATGTTGCTGCAACGCCGTCATCTGTCCGTCAGATCCCATGAATCTCACGAGGAAAATTTCTTCCATGATGGCCCTAGCTTCAGCAGCCCCAAATCGTTCTTAGATGGAGGCCCAAACATAGGGTTCGGGCATCAGCCCCGGCAAACAGGCTCACGGGAATGAGGATTGGTTTCTAGGCTGCCTCATGCATCTTACGAAGTCGTTGTTGCGCTTTCGTCAACTACTCCGCGGTACTCTGCATGCAGTGGACTCATGCCAAAGACACATGCACGCGCGCATTATCGAAAACTCACTTTACTTGGCCCCTAACATGGGTTTGGGGCGGTGCTCTAAGAGCACTGCCTCGATGGCTACGGACGGCAGCTGACGGATTCTCTAGTCTGCGAGAGAGAGAGGTCAGGCTCCTACCAGACCGCTCACCTGCGTTTGTTTATGTTCGTTTGCATGTTGTGGTGCTTTCTTGCTTACACCCTTGAGCATTGCTGACATTATTTGTCCTATTTTGTGAAATGAGTACCTTCTTCACTTCGAAATCTGACCGCCGCACTGCGTAAAGGCATCTTCGCGAACTCGCCCCAACCAAAATGTTTAGCTCTGGATGGCGGCTCGGGTTTTGGCGAAGCGTTTTCGCGGCGTCCTGGCTCATGAGGGTCGCCTAAATCTGGCAACTGCGTTGCTGAGGCCTGACGCCTTGAGAAGACTTCGTAACCCAAACCTCACAAGCCCGCGCTGTTCTTCATAAACTCTGCAGCCCCAAGCCTTAGGTTCCGTAGTCGTGCGCTTGGAATCCGATGGTGCACTGCTCTGCCAGGAGTTCCGTCAAGTGATGAAAAATCCAGCAGTGCGGACTTGGCTGGCGGCACAGGACCTTCACATGAGTAGCCTTGCTGCAAGACGGCCTGGCTTTACATCGGGAAGCCTGGACGAGCACCGCTTGTGACGGATAGTGGGCTTTGGTTGCGGTTGAGCTTATTTTCCTGCCTTAAAGGTGGGGGTTCCTAGCTCATTTAATGAGTAGGGCGTTCCATGTTCCTCAACCCGAAGAGCCCCCCCAAAAGCCGATTGTGCTCGCACCGAGACTCACCGGAAGCGTCCGATCAGCTCTTCCGGTGGCTCGGCGACAATGGGTCTCTCATTCTTTGGGGACACACCTTTCTTGTTCCTGGGAAGGACTTGTGGGTTTCCGGCTTTGGGGGCTTATTAGAGAGGACAGAGCCGAATGTTGGGCTTCACCGGACCACTGCAATTTTCAGTCAAGACAACGGTTTTTGAGAGAACTCAGAGGCTCGGGGGCGCTTTCTCGCCCGCTGTTTGCTGTTCACGAACTTCTGTGGACGCTTTCGCCTCTTATGAGCCCCCGTCTTTGCTTGTCTTTTTGGGGTGCGAGGCTTGGTAGAAGTAGCTCGCCGAACACGCAAACGGGAGCGTGGTGAGGGATGGTGTCACAACAGGCTGTTAGATGATGGCGACGCCGCCCTGACGGCCCAAGAGCTGGTGGAGGGCGTGGCCAAATTGAAAGGCCTGGGTGCCTTGCGACTTTTCAGATCTAAGCTTAGTGGGCGAAGAGGCCTTACATGACTGGTGAGTGAGTTTGGGGTTTGAGGGCCAGGGCCTAGGGATGTTGGGATGAGTCATGCAAAACCTCCGCAACCCCACAAGCGTGGACGAGAGCGAGCGAGACAGAGTGAGAGAGCGAGAGAGAGAGAGAGAGAGAGCTGGAGAGACAAGCCGTTGCTGCAACCGTGCTGTCAACAAGTTATGCCAGCACAGATCTCAATGCAATGTAAGCCCTTGAAAGCCACTCCAGGAGCACTCCAAGCCCATAAAGCACTGCAAGAACAGGCCAAGAGAGCCCTCCAAGGCCAAGACCCTTCAAAAGACCAAAGAAGCGCACGCCAAGAACACCCCAAGAGCATTCATAGTCGACCTCCTCGCCACTGGAGATACGGATGCCCTCCGCGTGCTACGTTTGCACTACAACTCCGGACGTCCATGGACTCCTGGACGTCCTCCGCGTGCTACATGTGTACTACGAATGTCGACGTTGGAGCTTCGGACGTCCTCCGTGTACTACGTTTGTACTGGAGTCGACTTGGAGCCACAGGAGCTCCGGACCGAACGTCCTCAGTTTCGCTGCTTCGCCCAGAAGTCCAACAGCGACGACAGCTTCGCATTTTGTGAGCCCAGAGGTCCCAAAGCGATGGCGTCCTGTGAATCCTAGCTTTCGGCCTCAAAAACCGGAACCTCCGACTGGTGAATTTCCAATGCTTGCGCAACAAACGAAGGTCCATGTTCGCAGGAGCCAAAAGTGTGTTCGCCTGCCAATGAAAATGACGTTTCGGGACGCCTTGAAGAACGCCGGGCCCACGTCTAGGCGAGTGAGAGCACGGATTTACGACCAAAATGCGAGCACGACAAAGACCCATGGTCCGGGCCGCCGGCGCTGTGAGTACTTTATGATCAAACGCTTGTTACCGCGAGCGTTGGAACCCAGTTCGTGTTAACACATTGGTTGGGGACCTAATCACCACGCGAGAAGCAGGTGGGGAAGCCATCGCAGGTAGCATAACGTTGTCTCGTGCTGACGGATTCTGTGTCGCACGCCGTTTGGGGCAGCCCTTTCGGGGAAAGAAAAAGGAAAGGAAAGGAAAGGAAGGAAGGTATAGAGAGAGGGAGCCGGTGGCAATGAGGGAGTGAGGCAACAGGTCCGATTCTGCATCAAACCTTGAGAAACTCCCCACAACAAACTTCGCATGCACGACTTCTTTGCAGGACCCGCCAAGAGCATGGACCTCGCTGTGTTTAGCCTGGAGTTCAGGACTGCTGGTTGTCGAGGTCCTCACGACTTTGGGAGTTTTGAGCTTTCGAAAGCGCCTTTTCGAAGCAATGGCCGGTGTCGCTTTTCAAGGCCTATGCAAACTTCCTCTTCGGTAACCCGAAGCTTGAAGTGGGTTTCATGGGGAACCCCCTGATAAGAGGCCTTAGCCATGCTGATTTGCCGCGTGTGGAGTTTTGCGGATGCAACTAGAATTGTCTGAATTCGACCAGCAGGGTCTTGGAGATGTACATTAGCGCATAGATTAGGTCTCGTTGCACTGACGAATTGGAGTAGCATCTTCACACCTTTCTCCTCAGCAAGCTGTGCGCGTCAGGAAGTTCAAAGAGGACGTGGGCAGGCTGGCACGACATGTGGCCCACAGGGTGTCGCGAAAGCATGCAACACTGTTATGTAGGCCTTGTCTTGACTTGAAGGGGTTAGTGTTGAAGTTCAAGTGGTCATTGGTGGGAATGAAATGCAAACTGACGCTCTCCGCACCATGCAGGTTGGGCGAACTGGCGGAGAAGCTCAGTGGCTCGGTTGAACGTAAGGCATTGGCTGAGCCGATACATACTTCAGTGCCTCCAATGTCCACTCGTCCCTGGCTTCCCCTTCACTTGCTTTCCCCTCCAAGCGCCAACTCAGGTAGCAATCTGGGCCTTGCAAACAACAGGACTGACTCCTTGGCCGCGGTTGTTGAAGTTTGTCTTCCTGTGAGGTGTCTACTTGTAACAAACAAAGCAAGGAAAACTTCACCTGTGTCTTCGAAGCATTCGAAGCCCGGTGTTCTGGAAGGACTCTGAGGAGGAGTATGACAGTGGGAGTCCGAGCCTCCGTGCGCTAAGTCGGAGGAAGGGGTGGGTTTTGCTTGAGGGTGCTTGGGACTTAGGGCTTCGGTAGGTTGGTTTCATGCATTGTGGGTTTCGGGGTTTTCGGCTTCAGGGTGATGCGACCTGTCCCGACCTGGAGCCCAGTCACTTCATAATGTTGATCTGAGGTCTTTATCATCCTTTCTCATCCTTTCTGTGGGTCCATTGACCATCCTCCCTAAACCCTATACCCTAAACCCTAAACCCTAAACCCTAAACCCTAAACCCTCAACCCTAAACCCTAAACCCTAAACCCTAAACCCTAAATCCTAAACCCTAAACCCTAAACCCTAAACCCTACAGCCTTGGAAACGTCGATGCCACCTCTTCCTCTCGGCCTTCCCGGCCTTTTGCAAGCGGAATTCAGCGCATGGTTTCGAGTTCTTCCGATCATTTAGGGTTTAGGGTTTAGGGTTTAGGGATTAGCCTTCGTCTGCGTTGGACTGCGGCATACCGATGCCTCAAGACTCTCTGAATTTCTGCTCTCTACGCCAGCGAAGCCTCCCCAAGTTCTTGGCAGTCCACTGCTGTGCAGGCCTGCGGCTTTAAAGGCCCTTGCCAAGGCGCATCTTAAAGTCTTAATGTTTCACCCGAGCCCAGGCGCCCTGAGCCACACTTTCGGAGCACAAGCGTTCAAGAAGGTGCTTGAAGGTTAGCGGTCATGCGCCTGAATCTGGAAAGGAAATCATAAGATCAACGCTAGGCTGACATGGGCTGACTGGGCACATCGGGGGGGCTGGGTCAGGCAGGGTCTTTTGAGCCCTGCGCACCCTCGCCAGAACCGACTGGGCGGTGCCTGTTGCACCGCTTGCGACGAGGTGCTGATTGCGGATGCTCTGCAGGGCTGGGTCAGGAGCCATCAGGAGCCCAACAGATGCACAACCGAACGCTCGCAGAAGCCTGTTTTGACGGCTGTGCAGCGCAATGTCCGCTTGTCAAGAGCACCCCAAAATTCTTAAGTAGCGTGGCAAAGAGGCACCGTGCAAAGCGCGGCTGCCGAGACTGTCTCGACTCGACTCGGCAGTCAGTTCTTCTAAATCTGGGCAGTGCGGCAGAACTCCTTGAAGGGATGCCTGCCGTACTCTGAACGGAGAGTCATGTCTTTTTCCCAAAAGTCAGCTCCGCAAACTCATGAGTATCAGTTCATCATCCCGAAGCATGTTTTTGCAGCGACATGGCGCAAGTGAAATCTGCAAGGGTCGAAGGCCAAGAGGATGCCGTCTTTTAGTGCGTGCATTGTGTTGCGTAGTGTGCCAGTACGTGCCTTGTATCGCGTATCGGGCTTCCGTGTGAGCTGATGCGTTGTCTCTCGCGTCTCGCGTTTCGCATCCTGTGTTAGGTCTGGTATGTCGTCTTGTGTCTTATGATGTCTTATGATTCATGGTATGTCTAGATAAAGTATTTTTGTTTGCAGGCATCGTCATGGCATGTGTCCGCACCCGGGCTCGTGGCCCCTCTCGGATGCGCCAAGAAACCGTTGTGGTGATGTCTCCCTTGTTGTGGGTCTTAATGCGGCAACCCCTGAGAGCCCTAACTATAGATTTGAAGCCGATGCCTTCGTCCCGTGCAGAGATTGAAAAGCTCATGGAACAACCAAGTCTGGGAAGTTCCTGCGATGCGCCATGTTGGGAAATATCCCAGTAAGCATCAGTCTCACGGCAGAAGTGTAGGATCATGCTCTCCAGCATCCTCTTGCATGATGGGACGAGCCTACTCTCGAGTTGGTGGCAGAGGGGACTTGTGAACCGTTGGCCGGCATGCGCACGACCCGTCAGACTAGAGAAATTTCAGCTGCCTTTGGGGGTTGAGGCCAAGCTCTTCTCCTGACAACTCGCGTTCTAGCATGAAACCGCTCGATCTCTGGACAGGTAGGCGAGAGGGCAACTGCAGGAGAGAGAGAGAGAGAGAGAGAGAGAGAGAGAGAGAGAGAGAGAGAGAGAGAGCGAGAGAGAGAGAGAGAGGGAGCGCGAGAGCGAGAGCGAAGCGAGAGCGAGAGCGAGAGTGGGAGAGAGGCGCACACCAACAGCTAGTCAGCCGCGGGGATTAGTGTGTGGTTGTGCCTGTAGCCTGGGTGTTTCTGAGCATCAAGTCTTAACATCTTTTTGTCCCCTGTGCATGGGATCACGTTGAGCAGCTGGCTCCGAGCTTTTCCCGCAAAAAAGCAGTTGCACTACCCTTTGCTTCGAAGCGGTCCACCTGCAACAGCATCCTTCCACAGCAAGACATCATGGATTGTGGGGTTAAAGGCTGGGGGTTTCTGACTTTACGGGGTACCTTATTGGGGTCCTTATTATACGGGAGTCCTACTATTTGGGGGTCTATTTTAGGGGTCACCTATTTTCGTAAACCCCCGGCTCAGCCGCGAACAGACGAGGCCCTTCAAATCGGTCATTTTGCACAAGCCTTGTCCTGTTTGTGCATTTCCAAAACCCAGAGCCGCAGGGTTAGGGTTTAGGGTCAGGTTTTAGGGTTAAGAAGAGTCCCGCGCAACACCAGCACATGGGCAGAACGCGCAGCAAGATAAGAGGCAAAGGGAAGCAGTCAGCCTTGCGGGTGGTGGTGAAGACAGACCGTTCAGCCCTGAGAGTGCCAGCAAGGTAACCTAAGGTAACTTTTGCAGAGCACATGGCCCTTCTGCACTTCCTCCGAGGCACTTACTAGGCCCCTTGAACCCAACCCTAAACCCTAAAGCCTAAACCCTGAACCCGAAACCCTAAACCCAGCACCCATAGAGCATGGGTCGAGTCTTGGATGCAGAAGCTCGGACCTTCAGTCCTTGCGCCCAGCACTCTTGGGTCTGCGCTTGTTTGTTGCTCCGAGACTGGCATCAGTGGCTTTGCGCTTCTTTCTTGGTTAGCGTTAGAGATCCTTTTTGCATTTTTCTGGGTTGCTGCTGCTATGCTCTCAGCTGCATAACAAAGCCCCTTGTAAAACAGATAGATGTAAAAAAAGGGCAGGTAGATCGTGCAATGAGGGTATATATTAATACTGGTTCCAGAGATCCTGATCCTGAGCCCCACAGGCAGTACATTGAGAAAATGAACCCTTCCTTAAAACCTCTAAACCACATCGAAAGTTTCGCCTGCTGAACTGAAGCAGAAGATCGTAACTGTAGTCTGTAGAAGGTGAGGCAGAGCTTGAGGCTCGGAGCTTGGGAGCTCAGGTTTAGGGGGCTACAAAGACGAAAGGAAACACTACTTATGATTAGGCTGCAGAATGAGGGCCGGCCCTTCTCATCTTTTCAAGGTATGAGTTTAGGAGTCCTGTGGGCAACCATGCGTGGAGCCAGTTATGTCAGCTGGAAAACTCATCACCCGGAGCTGTGGAGTCCGTCGCCCAATGCCTTTAAGCCTAAGGGCCGAACACCCCAAAACCATGACTCCAATCCTGAAAGGCTGCAGACAATCTACGTGCGAGCCGACTAAACCGACCCAAACAACTTAAGAATTTCAAACATGTGCGCGGACAAAGGTTACGAATCCGAAACAAGAAGGTCCTTCAAGTCTCCTAGTTTCCGATTTTGCTGCCCCACAGAAGGCACCAAAAAACACAGGTTTTAAAATGATGAGACCAGGTCCTTGCCACTAGGCCAGACATGTAGAAGTGTACCAAACATGATCGGTTGTGAGTGTTGGTTGGTGGTGTGCTCAGGGTTGCCCCGTCCCCAAGAATCGACATTCGATTACAAAACCAAGCTTGGATTGTTGACTCCGTGGCTTTTCTGCTGCAACAGCACGGCGGGCAAGCTCGTGGGTATCTTTCATTCCAGAACTCTGTTTTCAGGTTATCCTCAAGCAGCGGTGGCCATCCAATCTAAGGAGATTCTGTGTGAAGCCAAGAGGCCCCCTCCGAGTCCACAGCTGGTTGTAGCCCCCGCGCAGTATAGATGTCTTGCCAGTTTATGGGCTACCCTTGTCTGTACTTATGTTCAGGGAGAGGGAGTCTTAAATCTGGCGCATCCATCGAAGGATGGGCGCCAGTCCATGCACACGCACAGTCATCCACAATTGTAGCCATGCAGTAAGTCAGGGAGCTTCGCGTGCCCCGAGATTGCCTGCATTCACGCATATCTCACGCGCGATTAGCCTTGTTGTGCTCTCAAGGCCGTACCGTTTTATACGTGAATGTGATAGGATCCCTGCCGACGCGTGAACAAAATGCAATGCGATCTCCTGTCGTTGTGTTCAGACCCTGCCCCATAGGTAATAACCCCAGTCCACAGTCCGTAGCCGCATGCAGCTGTGTCCATGTCCTTTGTACTTTTGGGTGCTGTTTGTCATGACATGGTTATAATGTGCTCAGATTAAGCTTACTCCTTAGGTGGTTGGTGCCTGTTGAGTTGCAAACAATACTTGTGGGCGCATGTGCTGAACCTGTACTCCTGCATTCTTGACCCTAAATCACCCACACCCAGCTGGCTTTCAAAAGTCTGACAGTGGCACGAGGTCCCTAAACCCTAAACCCTAAACCCTAAACCCTAATCGATTCGTGGGCTCCTTCTTCTTTGGTTTGGCAGTAGTCAGCTTTGGCAGGCTTAGGCTCCTCAGGGGAAGAGCTCGCCACAGGTGTCTGGAATGGAACCGCAGGCAACGGCATGGGTGCACAAGAGCAGTAGTTGAAGTTCATTCGCCTGGCATGTTTAGGATCCCGAACGCCCGAAATCGAGGGTGTACAGCCCACGGGGTTCGAGGGTTAAGTAGGTATTGGGTGTATAGTCTTCATGGGCCCACCACATCTTCGTGTGGTTGCTGGCCGCTAAGTGTGTGCCCTTCGTGGAACATGGCTGTGCTGCTTCCTTCGTGTTGTTTTTCAAATCATTTTGTGAGAGTGTAATGCGTGTTCCCAGCCCATGTTGGGATGCACCAAAGAACGTTTTGTGATAGAAACGATGCACCAAAGGCGGCAGGGTAGCGTTGATTTTCGTGTTCCGCAAGTCAAATAGGCATATGCAGGCACTGCATCAGGCACTGCAGTATGAGTTTATTAGTGCTTTCGTTTGTGTCAGCTTCATTCTTGAAGTGTGGGGTTGTCCTGGGCAAGGCCCAGTCCGGAGTTCGCCACACGAGGTGGCGTAAGCATGATGACTGGATTGGTTAACAAACAAGGCGAGGTTGTGTTCTTCGAACTCTCACGCGATGATGTCGAGAACGTTGGGAGTCGAATGTGTACAACCAGAATGTGCTGAAGCTACCATAACTAAGGTTTCAAATCGACTCAACCAACCGAAGTCTTGGAACCTGAACATGCCTCAACATGCCCCAACACTATGTGGATAAGTCATGTGGCGTACATCCGGTCTAAGGTAACCTCGGAGCTCAGTTGGGAGGCCCTAGTGAAGAGTGCTGCTGCAACCTCCCGAGAATCATTGAATCCCTCTCGGACCTGAGAAGCATTGCAGTCCTTCTCATCCGAACGTCGCGCCAGTGGCTCATGAAATCCGACGGAGTTGGCTCCAAGTCGGTCTTCGCGAGGTGTGCCTGGACTTGCCTTGGCTGCCTTGCAGGGTACTTGATGGATTCTTTTTTGCTCCTGTTCAATTCTGAGGTTTAAGTCTGCGTTTTGATTCCTTGTTGGTTCTGTGATTATGAACAATCTACCGCGGCCGGTGATGAGAAAGCAGTAGGGAATGCACGGCGTAGCCGGCGCAGTTGCAGGTTCGTTTCGAGCAGGCCGGTGTAGCTTAGGGCTGGTGACCGGCTTAAAGTAGATTCCCAAAAGTTGGAACATCCTAATCCTCAGTCCCCAAAAGGTATACCACAGGAATCCCAGCTCTTTATCATCCTTAAACCCTGTTCCAACTGTCCGGAGTTTACTGTATGGAGGGTTTAGGGTTTAGGGTTGAAGGTTTAGGCCTTAGGGGTAGGTAGGTCCAGGGCTTCGACCCGCCGGTGCGGTCAGGATCAGTGGCAGCAAGCCCCGAGCTTCCCCCAACATGGACCCTGAGCTGGAGGTAGTTACTTCTTGAGCTCAGGTGCCGCGATCATTCCTGTTTACATCGACAGGAACAAGAAGGACAAACTAAAACCGGGAATTTGAGCCCTCTTGGGCACGGTCCCGACCACTTCATGCACCCCAGCCTTCTCTCCTCACTCCTTCCTCTTCAGATGTCGGCATCGAGAAGCCAATCATGCTCGAGCCTCAACCCTAAACCCGAAACCCGAGACCCTAAACCCGGCTAGACGGGTGGCAAAAAACACCCGAAACCCTAACCCCTACACCCGAAACCCTAAACCCTAAACCCTAAACCCTAAACCCTAAACCCTAAACCCTACACCCGAAACCCTAAACCCTAAACTCCAAGCCAGGAGATCCAAATCTTCAACGTTTGGTGCCCAGAGAAGAAGAAGCGCCACTGGGCCTTCTTAGAAGGCGACATCCTACGAGGCGCCGCGGAGTTGAGGATTTTTGGTGCAGGGGTTTAAAATTAAGGCTTTAAGGCTTTCTGCTGCCTAGGTTCTGGAAGAGAGGGTGTGCTACTCTGCTTTGTGCTCAGGGAGTTTACGGTTTTTCCACAATGTTTCTTTTGGTCATCGGTCAGGGCGGTGCACTCTGGTAAGACAACGAGTTCTGACTGACTTTGAAGGAAACGTCTGCTCTCTCAGCCCCATTTGATGGGTTCCGAGCCATGTGATTGAATTATGATGTGCCTCGCAATACAGGCGGTGGCCTCAAAAATCGTAAGACTTTTAACTCGAGATGCCGCATTCAGTCGTGATGCAAAAGTCAAAGAACGCCGCAGTGATGGCTTAACACACAAGCAGCTCAATGCGATACTACGAGTAAAGACACTTCGCCTCGATAGTTTGGCGATGTCAAAGTTTTACTGGGATGCCCGAACTATGTATCGACCTCTGGTCTGGATAAAGCCATGTGACAGGTGTTTTAACCTTCCAGGTTCCAGGGGTGCAGCTCAGGCGTTGGTCGGGGGGGTTCTGCATCTCGTCATCTTCAGTAACGGTGTGCAGCAGGCATCAACGTTTCCCACATTCCGTGGCTAGCCATGGCAGCACAGTAGCGGCACAAGCGGCACAACCACTATGCTGATCGCTTGACTTCTGGGCCTGATGCTTGCAAGCTCGCAAATGCACCACTCACTCGACGGGCCCCTTCAGGCCCCTTCACAGGCCTTCAGGCCCCTTCAGAGGCCTTCAGGGGTGTCATTTCTGGGGATGTTTTGCCAGCACACTTGAACCCCAGCCCAGACCCGCTCGCGCAGGCGCAGATCGCATGGTCCCTGATTTCACAGAGGGCAAAAGCTTTGAAGGGAGAGTCAGGAGTTTCAGCTGGGAGGAAATTGTGCATTGAATTCAAAGAGGGCCATGGAGGAGGTGTTTGATGGTCGAACTGAGACCCCATTTCCCATCATCTGATACAGGCAGGTTGCTGCCCGTCGACAGCAGGTCTTATGGGCTTGAAGATTTCAAGGCATTGTGGTGGTGCACCTCATGATTGTTGATCGACTGCGTGGCTTGCACAGTTTTGTCTGCAAAGTACAGATGCAGTTGAAGCAAGCTTTACTTTCCGAATCCTACGATCCGAGAGTACTAGACACCGCCATAATTTGTCGTCTCGGTCGGTCCGCCGTTTTTCAGCCCTGACGTGTGTTTGGGCGATAAGCATGTTGCGCCGCTGTTGCGTTACATCCCCAGCCCTAAAGCATGCGAAATTCGAAAAGTCGCTTCTGCTGAGGTCACATCTACGACACGTGCCGCCGCATTTTCAATAGCCAGGTGCCGTGGGGCCTCTTTGTCGATGAAATGTCATTGTCGTAAGGCTTTGGGGAGGGCTGCTAGGGAATGCTGCAACCTTGAGGTCACGTTGTTTGAACATAACCACGACCCACACCCACACCTCTGTGAAAGTGGCTTTATCATGCTGCACTATGCTGCACCTGCGGTGGCGAAAGGCGCAGCCATCAAGTACCCAGCGTGCACGTGTAGGCTTTGTCCAAGCATCTCAGAGGGCTCGCAGCCCTCCCCCAAGGATTTCAAACGAACATCTGTGTACCGACGGATTTCAATTATGGTTTTTCAGGATGGCCGATGCCCACCGTAGTGTCTCACGTAGTGCTCAAACTCAGAGCTACGTACACCTTCAGTCTCGCCCGAGCAACACACAGAAAGCAAGCTTCAGCAAACTGTGGAGGAAGATAGGTGAAAGATTGTAGCTGTGGATGGTTTAGACGCGTCTGGCTTCCTGAAGTAGCCGGCGTTGTGTGCTCATTCTTGTTGCCGAAACGTGGTGTTCGTGGTGCCTCCAGCACGGTGGTCCTTTCAGACGTAGGCATCTCGGGCTTAGGCTTTAGGGTTTAGGGTTTAGGGTTTAGGGTTTAGGGTTTCGGGTTTAGGGTTTAGGGTTTAGGGTTTAGGGTTGAGTGTTTAGGGTTTAGGGTTTAGGGGAGCCAGGGCCTTCGGGTTCCAAGATCTCTGCATCATTCGACCATGCGAGTGTGCTCCTAACCCTAAGCCCTAAGCCCTGAACCCTAAACCCTAAACCCTAAACCCTAAACCCTAAACCCTAAACCCTAAACCCTAAACCCTAAACCTCTGGGCTGCCAGGTCGGGCGTCTGTTTGGCAAGCCATGGCCGAGCCCGCTTGCCTTGCAGGGGACAATCGGCTTCAGGGCCTGGGTGCGTACATTCGGGGTTTGGGTTTTGGGGTTTAGGGTTTAGGGTTGTTGCGTTTCGGGTTGAGGATGTGCGCAGGGTTGTTTTGCTTGGACCTCGACGTAGATGGCAACGACATCGGGGGTACAGTTTTGCCTCTGAGTGCCTCGAATCGTCCCTGCGGAGCGGGGTGGTGTGCGCAGTGCGGGTGGCAAGAAAGCAAGACACTCCGCAGAGTGCCACATGCATTTTTGTTGCGAAGAGCCGACAGCCATGCTAACGAACATGCACTGTTCGTGTGACCCAACTTTAACAACGCGTCGCGTGTAGCGAAAAGCCCCTGTGCGCAGTGTTTTCGCGAGACAGAGGCCTTGAAGAATGATATGTTCATAAAGAAACAACTCTGCAAAGAGCACGTGACGTGTGTAGAGAATGCCACTGTCCACCGTGTTTTCGCTAAACACTGTGTTCGTAAAGCCAGCGCTTTGGAAATCGTACTTCGCACTTGTCGAAAATACCACTGCGCGCATTGTGGTTTTGACCATAGAACAACAACGTCCGGCAGATGCGTGCTTTCGCGTTTACGCCCGTGAAACCCAGAAAAGCCATGTGCAAAATCCGCGAGGTCGATGTTTAGGGCGCGGTGATACATGATGGCCTCAATGTCATTTCCTGCAGTGCATATGGCAGGGACACCCCCCGCCCCAAGCGAAATGCCGGAGTCGCTAGGCCCTAGGCCTCAAAAACCCCTAAGATACCTGAGCCATGCGAGCCTTGAGTGAGCCTTGGGACTGCCCAAGAACTCCTGAAATCCTAAACCCTAAACCCTAAACCCCAAGCCCGAAACCCCAAACCCTAAACCCCTAAACCCTAAACCCTAAACCCCAAACCCTAAACCCTAAACCCTAAACCCTAAACCCTAAACCCTAAACCCTAAACCCTAGACCCTAAACCCTAAAACCGCCAGGTCTGGTTGCTTTCTGTCCGAGCTTCCCGAGGTAGCCGGTACGGAGCTGAAGGCCCGGATGGGCCGAAGGCCTTCAGGTTGAAGCCATCGGTTTAGGGTTTAGGGTTTAGGGTTTAGGGTTTGGGGTTTAGGTTTTAGGATTTAGGGTTTGGGGTTTGGGGTTTAGGGTTTAGGGTAATATAGACCCCCCAAATACTCGGACTCCCTTATAACGAGGACCCCAAGAAGGTACCCATATTTTCCATCTGTTGTTCTGTTGCTTTACTGCAGCTTTCTGGAAGTTTTATGGATTTCAGATTCGGGGTGCACGTAGCACTCCTGGTGAGTTTAGGGTTCAGGAGTTACCAGACTTCTCAAGCTGGGTTCGCCTTGTCCGGAGCCCGCTGAATGCCGAAAGCCAGACCTTTGATCTCTTAGCAGCTAGCACTTACATGCTCAAGGGGCCTCCTTGGGACGTTCCCCCCTATACTAGCAGTCTTTCAGAGGGATGATGATCGGGGCTACTATAGTCCCTATCAAGGACTGTTGGTACAAAAGGGAACACCCCAAAGGGCCTCATCTTCTGGTTTCAGTGGGATTTCCCTCTTGCCTTGGGGTTTGGACATGCACGGGGGGGCCAAGCTGTCGTGATCGCATTGGCAGGATCCTTCCATCTGCACCTTTGTGAAGCTGGAGCAGGTCTCTGAAGCCCTGCGTTCTGAGTCAAAGTGAAGCTGCGGGATGTGGATGCTCAAAAGCGGCTTGTCTTCCTGTCTGCGTTGCAGGATGGTCACCGTTATCCCTGCCGGCCTCACTTTTTCCTCCAGGCCCTGTGCTGCGTACGGATGACCGGACCGTAGACGAGGAATGCACAGAATCCTGCCGCCAACCTTTGCCACATCAGGTCACGGAGGATTTTTACGAGACGACCAGATGTTATGAGGCACTTGTTGCATGTGCCTGCTTATTAGCATTGCTGCCGCTAAGGTGGTGGGCTTACTTTTTGCATCCGTGCGGCCGAGCACCAAATACATCAAACATGTGCAAAGGATGATTACTCTGATCGCTGTACTACTGCCCCAACACGTGTCTTCAGCGTGTCTTGTTGGCCGGGGCTGCATGTTGACCTTAGCTTTAGAGCAAGGCCATGTGAACCCCATCTGCGAGCCTTGAGTTTCAGCACTGGCACACGAAGTGCCGTTGGCGGGAGGATGCCAGTGGGGTGATCAAGCTCCCTGCGCCAGAGGTGACCACCCCGCTCAGAGTTCAGGGTTGTAGCGCGTGGGTCGTTTGAGGTTTACGACTTGTGAGTCATGTCTTGGGCATCTTGATGTGCTATGCTGGTGCTGCTCTCCCTGAGCCTTCACAACTTCAAACTCGCAGGACGACTTCGTGAAGTGGGACGATCTGGTGAGGGACCTCAAATCTTCACAACCTCCATCAGGCTCCCCCAAATCTCCATGGGGCCCTCTACCCAAGCCCAGGCCTCGGCCCGCCGGGTGCACTTGGATGGCACCTTCTTCATGGAGCACGACGAGGCTTCCCCCCTTGGAGCCTTTTGACATCCTGAACATCCTAAGCAAGCACCCAGCGTGGGCGCGCCTCCAGGCGCGCTGGGTCGTCATGGAGTACGAGACCGGCAAGCTGATGGCGATGCGCTCAGGGACCTGCAGCTTGGAAGGGCTTCTGGGGTGCGTTTGTGGATTTTGCCGCATTTGTGCTACCAGTTGGGTTCAGGGGATTGCTGCTTGAAGGAGGCGGATTTCAAGTCGAATATACCCGCACCCCAACAAGACTCGCCATCAGATTTTCAAGTTTAGTTTCAATCAAAGAGCTCAAGCTACCCACTCGAACTCGCAGTGGAACTTTAACCCATGCATGTTTTTGCAACCATGAACATTTGCTGAATGGGGGGGGGGGGGGCGGGGCGGCGCAATAAATGTCACGGCGCATTCTTCTCTCGCAGTCGCAGGGCTTGCTTGCTCAAAACCTCGCCTCCTGAAAGCTCGCCATGGCACGCAGCAGCGCAACAGCGGTGGCGACTCGTCATGAAATATGGTTTCGGCTGTCGTTGATTCAAATTGGTGTTGAAGGGAGGACTTCTGGAGGTTTTTGGGGATGTTTGGCTGCCAAGATACATGGAGAAAGGTTTGACACAAGCAGCAACGGTTTTTTGGCTGAGGCCCTCGTGGCAAGCTGCTGCTTGGCAGGTGCACGGCAATTGCCACGTATGTTGAGATTGCACTCCATTCCACTCACATGCTGCGCGACGTCCCGTCTCAGCATGGGAAGGCGGCTTCCTGTTCGTGCCTGGGCTTCTTCCATCGGCCACGTCGTCTTCCCCGACAAGGGCGACGGGCCACCAGGTCCATTAGAGATGAGGTTGAGTAAGAGCAGGTGGATGAAGTGAGAACTTCCCATCAGCCAGAAGATTCGATTTGTGGGTTTTATATAGATCAGCCAGAAGTTTCGACTGATAGATTGATAGAGTCACGCCCCTAAAGCCAGGATTCGAAGATTTGCATTAGCAAAAGCCTTCGACCACCTCAGCTTGGGGCAAATGCAGCTTGATGGTTCGCCTGAGTTTCTTGCGTGCTTTTACTCAAGCACGCGACTTTGATATTTGCTCCCCGTTGAGATCGCTTAACGATTCGAGCCCTATAGAGCCAAACCCTGAACTCACTGGAGCTCTGTTCGCTAACCCCCTCAAACACCGAACCCCAAGCACCACATTGAGTAAGCCAAGACCGCCCTCAACACAACGTTCTTTTCGCAACATCCCCCGGCGGCCTGATGCCGAAACCGTAAACCCTGTGCAAACCCTCTAAACCCTCTAAACCCTCTAAACCCTCTAAACCCTCTAAACCCTCCAAACCCTTCAAACCCTCTGGTCTGAACCCTCTGAACCTCAACCCTCTAAACCCCAAAGCAAAAACCCTGAACCCTAAACCTTAAACCCTAAACCCTATACCCTAAACCCTAAACCCTCCTAAGACTGTCTCGTCCTCCTGTCTCGGCCCCCTCCTTTCGCAGGCGGAGGCTGCGCGGACCGAGGAGACGTCCGAGCACACCCTGCAGGGCCTCTTCGTGCTTTGACCCAGTTACAAGCCGTGTGGGTTTAGGGTTCAGGGTTCAGGGTTCAGGGTTTAGGGTTTAGGGTTTAGGGTTTAGGGTTTAAGGTTTAGGGTTTGGGGTTTGGGGTTTGGGTTTAGGGTTGTAGACCTCCCAAACAAAACAAACACTCCAAAATCTGCTAAACCTGAGGGTTCAGGGCTTAGGTTCCTAGTTTCTGAATCCCTTCAAGTGCTAAACCCGAAAAATCTTGAACATCCTCATCTTCAAAAGAAACCTGCAGGATCCTTCTAAGTGAGTTCCCGTGAGGAACGGGAGTCCGGAGTCTTCCCCTCCAAAAAGGAAAGCAGAAGCGTGTAGTGAAAGTCACGGCGTGCCGAATGCCAAATCCTTACATCGAATCAAGGGCGGCGTCGCGCTGGGCCTGCTGCTGAGCGTGGCCTCGGCCTCCCCGGTCCTGGCAGAGGAGGCGGCGGCCGACTCGGCAGCACCGGCCGCGCCCGCGGCCAAGGAGAGAAAGGGTTTGCGGGCCCAGAGGTGTCGGAGACCGGGGTGCTCCGATAAAAACCTCGGACCTTGAACACGGTGATACGCGTTTTTTGAGACCTGTGGCCGAAGGAGCTTTCGGATGACGAGATTCTCGCCAAGGTCGCACGCCGGGCATGATGCAGAACATTCTCCGCGAACGAATGCTCTCTACCCACCAAACATGCCTTCAGCTTCCTAGATTCCTAGATCCTGAAGAGTTTGAATCGGCCTATGCGAATGCAGTGCGTCCCGGGCAGGGTTGTGACATCCGCGTGGACTGCAAGACCCAGGAGGAGCAGTTCCGTTGGGCCAAGGCCTACTACAGGACAGAAATGAAGCAAGCGCAGCCTGCGCAATATCGAGTTAGGTGACCCGAAACAAATTCCTGACAGAACGGCCCGCTGCTGCGTGACTTGTTCTGCGCCTACGGCAGGAAGTACAACCGAGAGACCGATGGCAAGGACCCCAAGTACTCCCAGGCCAGCACTGGTGCCGGTACCTACCGCAAGTACAAGGTCGACCTCTACATTGAAAACCCGGGTATTGCGGACACCACTGACGGCACCTACCAAATCAACCCGGCGGCGACAGCTACCTGGTGGCAACGTGTGGTGCAAGCATGGCACATTTGTGGTGCTTTCAGAATCTTTCGGAAGGTTTCATCCAGAAGACTAAGGCATTCGAGCCCATCTGGAAGGAGTACAACAAGCAAGTCAAGGCCCGAATCGAGAGCGTCTACGGCCATGCACCCGGGCTTGCATAGACTATCATAGACTCCTTCCCCTCTTCCAGCTTATTTTTTGTTTTCTTCTTCTGCGTGGGGTGACTATCACACGGTGTCACGGTGGCGTGTCTTTGCGGTGTCCAATGTGGTGTGCATGCTTGATCTCTTCTGAGTCTGACGAGCCCATCCGCTGGAACGGCGACTACTGCGACAACAAGCTGAGCCCCTACAAGACCGCCAACTGCATCGGCATCTACAACAAGTGATTTTTCAGATGTGGGGTCCTGGAGCCTGGGACTTAGACTCCGAAGTCCTTCTGCAGGCCTTGCCGGTTTGGGGGTTAAGGTGCGTAGTGCAATAGCACCAAATTTCCGCAGGTCACCTTGCTTAGATCTGGCAGAATCGCGCAGTTGGCAAAATTCATGAGGAGACCTGAAAGATCTGTAAACTTCGTGCAAGCATCAACCAAAGTAACAACACCACAAGGGGTGACGGCACGACAGCCTTCAGGCCCAGCCGCGCTGATCATGGGACAGCCGCGGGTCAGCGAAAATTGGTGCTTCGCCGTGCCAAGTTGAGACTTAGGTTTTTTGATTCTTTTCTGAAGACGACTTTTTTTAGCATCTTGTCGACAAAGACCCAATAGCTTGCTGAGCAAGTCACCACGTCCTAGGCATAGCACAGATATCTGTGACCTTTTGCAACGGTAGTGCAGAGTTACCATTCGCGGTGACAATGCTTTCAAGAACTGGAAGGACTACTCCAACACTGCGACCCAGTGGGTTTTCAGTGACAGCCTTGAGGCCCCGTCCGATTAAGAATGCGGATTCCGTGCCTTAGAGTCCTGAAGAGCTTCGTGTTGTTATGACTACCATTATGATTATGATTATGATTATGATTATGATTATGATTATGATTATGATTATGATTATCATGATGATGATGATGATGATGATGATGATGATTATTATTGTTATTGTTATTGTAATTGTTATTGTAATTGTAATTGTAATTGTAATTGTTATTGTTATTGTTATTGTTATTATTATTCTTGACCCCCCCCATGGCGTAAACTCACGATGCTCCAGTCGTTCCATGGCCTGGAAACTTCCAGGTGTTCAGAAGCAACCGCTGGACATAGGTAAGTCCCAAAAGCTGCCTTGAATGAAAGTATCCGCAAGCTCGTGTAGGGCCGGAGCAGATCACCGCAGCAGCTTCCGTGGCTCCGACAGCGCCTCTGAAGAGTTTTTGTACAGCCATGGCTCGTGGATCTGGAAGATTGGCGGTGCCAGACTCAGCGGACACAGGCTTCTTCCAGGTTTCGGGATTCTCATGTCGTGGCCTTGCTCCTTCTTGGAATGTGTGGGCCCCCTCGAAGAAAGTGTTTAAAGGGTTGAGGAGTCTTGACTACAAGCTCTGCTCAGCACCGGGGGGGGGGGGGGGGGGGGGGGGGGGGGGGGGGGGGGGGTGGAGGGGTTCCAGAAATTGCCCTTTTAGGAGAGCAAAACCCGAAGCTCAAAACCCGCTCAACCAAGACTTTTATCCGAGAATGCGGACCGAACGTGAAGCTTCAGGCGTTTGTGGGCGGCTGCGCTTTAGCTGGCCCAGCACCCAGCTTGTAGTTGTGGTCTGTGGGCTGCGGATTTTGTTTCCTGCTTGATGGCTGTAGGTTGAAGGGTCTTGGATGGATGTTTTCTTTCCAGAGAGCCCGATACCCCCTTGATTCAGAAAAACCCAGACTAACACAGGGCCTTTTCGGCATGGGTGTGTCCCAGAGTCACGGCTTCCGGATGGTTCAGGGGTAGCAACGTAGCAGTCTCCTGGGGCCTTGTCCTGCTTTCTTTGCAAGGAGCCCAAGGCAGCAGGCCTCAAGGTTGAAAATGGGAGCCTCCAAAGGGGGTTCGGCGCCTAACTCTTGTTGATGGTCCGTGGGATTCAGGCCACGGAGGTTCGGGCTTGTTGCCCTACGTACACAGCAAGTTATATCTTCGCTCGTATTGCAGCTTGTCTCCAGGACAGGGGGCTGAGGGTCAGGATCTTCCAAAGAGTCAGCAACAACGTCCTCAAACTTTCAGGTCAAGCTGCCTTGGTGTTATGCTTGGCAATTTGCTGGAGACCATGCTCGTCGAGCACAGTTCAGAGAAAAGACACAGCAACCGTGTAGGTCCCTGAGGTTGCTGATGCGCGCTTTGTACTGGGAGATACTGTAGGAGTGATTTACGAGCACCGATGGCAAGCATCAGCAATGAGTTCAAATCTCTTGGAGGTGGCCTTGCCTTCGTTCCCGGTATGGTGCCGGTGACCCGCACGACACCAAGTCCGAACACCCATGCAGGAAGGGAGCAGGCGGGCAATCGCTTTCGGAGCTAAAGCTGCCCTCCCCACACAGTCAGACCAGCAGCTCACAAAGCTGATGTCTACTGAGTCTTGACACCCCTTTGACATCCCCTGACACGACCCAGACTGCAAAGTGACTAGTTGGGTTTAGGCTCTTTTTGTGGTTTCAAAGCCTTCCCGAACCAACCCGAAGAACAGACACCCGCCCCTGCAGAGGCTGACTTCGCAGATGCCAGCTCTTTCCAATCCTTGCAGGGGCTTTTCGTCACACGGCGAAACACCTTTTTGCCAGCCTTCGTCTTCGCACAACTTTCTTTCTCAACCCCTGCCGACCAACCTTTGATCTGCCCCGAAACCGGTTCATCGATTCATTCCTCCTACAGCTGTGCATAACATGCTTTCGGGCGAAGGTCGCCCAGTCGCCAATATCAAGCCGACCCTAAACCCAAGGCATAAACATGCGTAGACATGCGCAGACCCAAAGCACTTTCCCACTGTCCCACCAACCAAGGGAGGCGTCGCGCTGGGCCTGCTGCTGAGCGTGGCCTCGGCCTCCCCGGTCCTGGCAGAGGAGGCGGCGGCCGATTCGGCAGCACCGGCCGCGCCCGCGGCCAAGGAGAGAAGGGTTTGCGGGTCCAGAGGTGTCGGAGACCAGGGTGCTCCGAGGAGGGCTTTGAACGTTGCTGAAGTTTGGGCACGGGTGCTGTCCCTTGTGAGACTTCTGGCCGAAGGAGCTTTCGGATGACGAGATTCTCGCCAAGGTCGCACACCGGGCATGATGCAGAACATTCTCCGTGAACGAATACTCTCTACCCGCCAAACATGCCTTCAGCTTCCTAGATTCCTAGATCCTGAAGAGTTTGAATCGGCCTATGCGAATGCAGTGCGTCCCGGGCAGGGTTGTGACATCCGCGTGGACTGCAAGACCCAGGAGGAGCAGTTCCGTTGGGCCAAGGCCTACTACAGGACAGAAATGAAGCAAGCGCAGCCTGCGCAATATCGAGTTAGGTGACCCGAAACAAATTCCTGACAGAACGGCCTGCTGCTGCGTGACTTGTTTTGCGCCTACGGCAGGAAGTACAACCGAGAGACCGATGGCAAGGACCCCAAGTACTCCCAGGCCAGCACTGGTGCCGGTACCTACCGCAAGTACAAGGTCGACCTCTACATTGAAAACCCGGGTATTGCGGACACCACTGACGGCACCTACCAAATCAACCCGGCGGCGACAGCTACCTGGTGGCAACGTGTGGTGCAAGCATGGCACATGTGTGGCGCTTGCAGAATCTTTCAGAAGGTTTCATCCAGAAGACTAAGGCATTCGAGCCCATCTGGAAGGAGTACAACAAGCAAGTCAAGGCCCGAATCGAGAGCGTCTACGGCCATGCACCCGGGCTTGCATAGACTATCATAGACTCCTTCCCCTCTTCCAGCTTTTTTTTTTTGTTTTCTTCTTCTGCGTGGGGTGAATATCACACGGCGTCACGTTGTCCAATGTGGTGTGCATGCTTGATCGCTGCTGAGTCTGACGAGCCCATCCGCTGGAATGGCGACTACTGCGACAACAAGCTGAGCCCCTACAAGACCGCCAACTGCATCGGCATCTACACCAAGTGATCTTTTTTAGCTGCCCGGCTCCAGTCCTGAGGTTTTCATGAGGCTTACAGGCCAAAAGGTTTGAAGTTCCGAGTGTTAATTCTGGTTGGGGCCCAACGCCCAGCAACCTGCCAGAGGTTCCAAGTCCCAAAGGGTTTAGGGTTTAGGGTTTAGGGTTCAGGGTTCAGGGTTTAGGGTTTTGTGAGCCCGGGCCCTGAACAGGAAACGGGAAGTGTCAAGAGCTCAGCCCCCTGTTTGTTGGGATAAACGTGCGCGGAGATACGTCTATTTGGACATCTACTTTGTGAAGACAGCGGCTTTGAAGATGCCTTTTGCTATGAATGGTTTTTCGTTGCGGGTTTCACTTTGGGAAAGGTTTCCATTAAGAGAACAAACGGTAACACCACCAAATTCACCAACATTTCCCAAATCAAGCAAAGAACCCGCTAAGGAAACTCGAGTTTTGTGATTACGAGTTTTTGCTTGGCATTTTTTCGCGGCTAGTTTTTTTCCATGGTGCATTCGAGGGACCCAACACAACATGTTTTTACAGATTGTTTGAATGTTCGTGGAAGTTTCATATTACAAGTTTTCATGCACTTCGACATCACCTTTGGGATGTCTTGGGTTCAAGTTGGTTTAGGGTTAGGGTTTAGGGTTTAGGGTTTAGGGTTTAGGGTTTAGGGTTTAGGGTTTAGGGAGTTTCAAGGCAACTGCAAACAAACAGGCTCTTCATCACAAGGAAATGACGGTGTTGGCCCATCTATCAATGTAATCCCGGGTTTTGACTTGGAAGCTTATGAGGAGATACCGAGTTAGCTCTGTTTGCGAAGCCATGCGACATTCCAGAGGGGGGGGGGGTCGGTCGTGCGATTTGCGAAGCCCCCGGAAGAGGATGGGGGGGGGATCTCGTGCTGGGATGCTTGTATACGAAAATAGGGAATCCCCCGAGTTTTGTTTTCATGTTTTTCTGTGGTTCTCCCTTGCTGACCTCTAGATGATCCTTTTCGCGCGATCAAGTAAACGACGATGCGAGACCTTGTTGAACCGTCGTTGCTGAATAATTGTCCTTAACTCAAGACTCTTGTTCAACTTCAATGAGGCACTCTAAACCCTAAACCCTAAACCTTAAACCGGAAAAAAGGGGTGAGACACCGCCAAAGCACTTCACGAATGGGCTGTCCGAGGAGCCTGGGGTTTAGGGTTTAGGGTTTAGGGTTTAGGGTTTAGGGTTTGGGAGGGAGCCGTTTGCCCTGTCCACTCTCAAGGGCCTGTCAGCTATGGGAGTCCCTGCTAGGAATGTTATAAAGCTACGGCGCCGTGCGTCTTCCAGGCGTTGAATCGCATGCCCTCAGGTTTACCTACACTGTGTAAACTGTTCCGTCGGTTGACAAGCCTGAAAACTACGTGCTGCGTGTTGTTCAAGCCATGCCGCGCCATTGCAGTCCCGCGCATGTTTTGTCAGGGGAAGCCCTAAACCCTTGAGGGGTCCCTCTGGGTGTCCCTCACGCTCCCAAAGATTTCCGTCGAACTCCCAAGAAGGGCTGCAGAGAGTCTAGGGCCTTCCAACGGTGCACCTTGCCGATCGCGAGGGCGCCCCTGGAAAACCCGTCTGCTTTCGCCAAAGCACCTTCAGGCGCCAGTCAACTATTGGGGTACCCAGTTCAGGGCCCCAAAGAAAAAAAGTTGTTTGAGACTTTCTTCTACTCCTTAGGCCCACAAGCCTTGGTGGACTGAATCATGTGTAGTGCGAGATGACAGACTGCTGAAGCATCATTTACAAACAAGCTGCCTGTGCCTCGCCCGAGGCCTACGCCGCGAGGATACCCCGAGCAACAACTTCAGAGAGCGCTCGCAGAAACGAAAAGGGAATGGTGGAGCTCGTCGCCAAACTGCCTTGGGGTTCAGAGTTCAGCATTCAGTTCCTTAATCCCTAAACCCTAAATCCTAAACCCTAAACCCTTTAAGACCCTGACAAGCCCAGAACCCCCCAAGAAGCTCTGCCCAGCTCATAGCCTACGGATGATCTATGACGAGTTTGTCCACCCGCAGTTTGGCTGCTGACTTCGGGGGCCTGGTTTTTTTTGTAACAGCAGCCTAAGCCATGGCACGCAGCAGGGGGACCATCATGGCCGGAGCCTCGGAGTGTTTTTCCTCTTTTTTTATTTTTATTTTTAGGTTTTTTATTATTGTTATTATTTCTATTATTTAAAGCAAGGCGCCTTCCTAAGCCCTATCTCTTGCAGCGCGCTGCGTTGGGTGACTCCACGGAAACCCTGCCCAGGCCCTTGTGGGCACCTGCGCGCTGACAGGCCGCGGGGGTCGAAGGTAAGGTTAGGCATTTCGGAGGGTTTTGCAGCGTTTGGTGGTGCTACGTCTGTGTGTTGGGCTCTTGCTGGCTGCAACCCCCGTGGCCATCAGATGAGCCAGCTCCCCTGCCTTCAGCCACTGGTAATCAGCATTCTGGTAGGGTTCGTGCGAAAACACAAGGAACTGGTTTAAGGGCCAGCTCGCCACCCTGAAGCCAAAGACCCGAAGGCGATCTCGACCCAAACTTGACCATCTTGACCCCATCCCCGGAAGAAATCGGAGGCAGCCTGGTCTTCGTGCCCGGTCTTGCGCCCAAAGTTGCCCCGTCGCCAGCCCCGCGCGTTGGCCAGCAGGACAGGTTTCGGATATGAGGCGTGTAGGTAATGCAGGGAGAGGTCCAGGATGTTGTTAAATCTACAGAAACCTGCCATCTACTTGTGCTCGTAGTTACTCGTCCATCGGTCTTGATCACGATCCCCCATCCCGCCCCCAGGGAAACAAAGCCGGAAAATCCTGGTAGTCCGCAGGAGGTCGACCTGCAAGCAGGTGAGGAGGCTAGCTCATTCAGCTCTTTGACCGGTCTCTTCGCGCCCGGGCAGAGGCTTTTTACAGCGTAGGGCTTTTGGTTAGACGTGGAACGAATTTTCGAGATGTGTGTTTTAGAGGTGGGTGGACATGAAGGCTCCGGTTTGCGCATCCATCTCACGGTGAGCTGCAGCGAGATCTGGGCCTGTGCATTCCATATCAGCCTCAAGAAACGGCTGCTGAAACCCCCTAAGCCGCAAAAGCAAAGACCAGAAGTTCGACACCTTCTCCCACCAAGGGCGGCGTCGCGCTGGGCCTGCTGCTGAGCGTGGCCTCGGCCTCCCCGGTCCTGGCAGAGGAGGCGGCGGCCGATTCGGCAGCACCGGCCGCGCCCGCAGCCAAGGAGAGAAGGGTTTGCGGGTCCAGGTGTCGGAGGCCAGGGTGCTCCGAGGAGGGCCTTGAACGTTGCTGAAGTTTGGGCACGGGTGCTGTCCCTTGTGAGACTTCTGGCCGAAGGAGCTTTCGGATGACGAGATTCTCGCCAAGGTCGCACACCGGGCATGATGCAGAACATTCTCCGCGAACGAATGCTCTCTACCCACCAAACATGCCTTCAGCTTCCTAGATTCCTAGATCCTGAAGAGTTTGAATCACAGCCATCGTGAGTGATAGTAGGCCTATGCGAATGCAGTGCGTCCCGGGCAGGGTTGTGACATCCGCGTGGACTGCAAGACCCAGGAGGAGCAGTTCCGTTGGGCCAAGGCCTACTACAGGACAGAAATGAAGCAAGCGCAGCCTGCGCAATATCGAGTTAGGTAACCCGAAACAAATTCCTGACAGAACGGTCCGCTGCTGCGTGACTTGTTCTGCGCCTACGGCAGGAAGTACAACCGAGAGACCGATGGCAAGGACCCCAAGTACTCCCAGGCCAGCACTGGTGCCGGTACCTACCGCAAGTACAAGGTCGACCTCTACATTGAAAACCCGGGTATTGCGGACACCACTGACGGCACCTACCAAATCAACCCGGCGGCGACAGCTACCTGGTGGCAACGTGTGGTGCAAGCATGGCACATGTGTGGCGCTTTCAGAATCTTTCGGAAGGTTTCATCCAGAAGACTAAGGCATTCGAGCCCATCTGGAAGGAGTACAACAAGCAAGTCAAGGCCCGAATCGAGAGCGTCTACGGCCATGCACCCGGGCTTGCATAGACTATCATAGACTCCTTCCCCTCTTCCAGCTTTTTTTTTTGTTTTCTTCTTCTGCGTGGGGTGAATATCACACGGCGTCACGGTGGCGTGCCTTTGCGGTGTCCAATGTGGTGTGCATGCGTGATCGCTGCTGAGTCTGACGAGCCCATCCGCTGGAATGGCGACTACTGCGACAACAAGCTGAGCCCCTACAAGACCGCCAACTGCATCGGCATCTACAACAAGTGATCTTTTTACGTGGGTCACTGACCACCTTGTCCAGTTGTAGCATCCCAGACCTTGAATGCTCTTGTCTGACGTGGCATCTGTACATTGATGTCAACTCCGCAGCTGCTGGAACGGAAAAAAGTGTCCCTTTACAGAGGCAGGCTACGTTTGGGCTACGTTTGAACGATTTTTGGACAGGTGTGTGGCTTGCCGGTCGCCAAAACGGTTGGTACTGATAGTCGCTCGCTCGTTTTTTTGAAGTGAGATGCTATTGGAAAAACGAGAGCCCCATGGAAGAAGGTGTGGTGTTCAGATCCTGCGGGCCTTGTGTGCAAGCCATCAGCCGGGGGAAAACTGTCGCAAGCGTTTTGGCAGCGCCCTCAAGGCCTCAAGGAACCCGAGGCCTGAAATGCACGGATTATCATTCATGCGTTGTGTCATGTCGGTTGTCCTCCACACAGGCTGTTTGAGCAAAATGGCACGTGTTTTATCAGGAAGCTTTGACTGGACCGTCAAGCGAATGTCGTTGGCAAGCAAGCTGTACGAAGCGGCCATCACACCGGGCCAGAACACGCGCAGGTTGTTTGCGTGATTCTGCGTGGTTGTTTATGTGAAAATTTGTCATGCCATGCGGGGTCGTCGGCGATGATGTGCTCAAGTATTGGATCTTGTTGCTGTCGCTGCCACGCGAAGCTGTTGTCTCAATCGCTGTTCATCCCAAGCTGCAGTTGGACATCGTCGCTGTGCCGATTGACTTTGTGGGTCATCTGTCGCAGTGTTTGAGACCAGTCTCACCGTCCACGTACTGCCGGAATTCCTGCCAAAACCGAACATGCGACGACATCTGTCTGAAGCCAATAGTCGACCTGCAACGTGGTGACAAACCTGCCTCTTCACAGAGCCGGGATGTGCACTGCCGTAAAGCCACATTGCGAGCAACAAGAAACTCGTGACAAACATCGTCCCAACAATATAAACGCCGGTTGCCACCGAAACGACGCGAAGCACATATGAGCAGACCAGTAGCAGCCGGCCCGGCAGCCACTGCTCTTCTGGCATCGCGGGTAGTTCCAGCAACAAGCACGTGCAGCCCTTGCTACTCTGCGCGCGTTGCCCGGCATAGGACCAGCGCTCGCCCCACGCGTCCCAACGCTGTTTGTTTGCTGGCTGCTAGTCTTTGCATGGACTATGAGTTTCAATGTTGCATCCGGTTTAGTAAGCCCCTTTCATGCAAATCTGGGACCCTCCTGAAGCTTTCCCGCTTTGCCACAAAGCCATCTGGTGGTCGCCGTGGTCGTCGTGGTCGCCGTGGTCGTCGCGGTCGTCGGTCGTCGTCGCGGTCGTCCTTGCGGTCGTCGTCGTGGCGGTCGTCGCGGCATGTCGCGGCGGTCGTCGCGGCGGTCGTCGCGGCGGTCGTCGCGGCGGTCGTCGCGGCGGTCGTCGCGGCGGTCTTCGTGGCGGTCGTCGTCGCGGTCGTCATCGCGGTCGTCGTCGCGTTGTCGTCGACCAAGGGTCGTCGCGGTCTTCGTGGCGGTCGTCGTCGCGGTGGCGGTTGTCGCGGCGGTCGTTGTCGCGGTCGTTGTCGCGGTCGTCGTCGCGGTCGTCGTGGCGGTCGTCGTGGCGGTCGTCGTGGCGGTCGTCGCGGCGGTCGTCGTGGCGGTTGTCGCGGCGGTCGTTGTCGCGGTCGTCGTCGCGGTCGTTGTCGCGGTCGCGGTCGTCGTCGCGGTCGTCGTCGCCCTCCTCGTCCTCCTCCTCCTCCTCCTCCTCCTCCTCCTCCTCCTCGTCCTGGTCCTGGTCCTGGTCCTGGTCCTCGTCCCGGTCCCCGTCCCCGTCCTCCTCGTCCTCCTCCTCCTCCTCGTTCTCCTCGTCCTCCTCGTCCTCGTCGTCCTCCTCCTCGTCGTCCTCCTCCTCGTCGTCCTCCTCCTCGTCCTCCTCCTCGTCCTCCTCCTCGTCCTCCTCCTCGTCCTCCTCCTCGTCCTCCTCCTCGTCCTCCTCCTCGTCCTCGTCCTCGTCCTCGCCCTCGCCCTCGCCCTCGCCCTCGCCCTCGTCCTCGTCCTCGTCCTCGTCCTCCTCCTCCTCCTCCTCCTCGTCCTCGTCCTCGTCCTCGTCCTCGTCCTCCTCCTCCTCCTCCTCCTCCTCCTCGTCCTCGTCCTCGTCCTCGTCCGCGTCCGCGTCCGCTTCCTCGTCCTCATCCTCGTCCTCGTCCCCGTCCCCGTCCTCGTCGTCGTCGTCCTCCTCCTCCTCCTCCTCGTCGTCGTCGTCGTCGCCGCCGTTGTTGCTGTTGCAGTTGCAGTTGCAGTTGCAGTTGCAATTGCAGTTGCAGTTGCAGTTGCAGTTGCAGTTGCAGTTGCTGCCGCTGCCGCTGCCGCTGCCGCTGCCGCTGCCGCTGCCGCTGCCGCTGCTGCTGCTCCTGCTGTTGTTGCCGTTGTTGCTGTTGTTGCCGTTGTTGCTGTTGTTGCTGTTGCTGCGCCTGCTGCTTCACCGCGAAACACATGCGTCAACGGCAGGTCACAACCGACATGAGCCGACCGAGTTCGCGCTGCGCACATATAAACGTTTGCGGTTGGACACGAGAATGGGCAGACTCGTCAGTATATCATGAATCATCATTGTACATATGTAATGCACAAGAGTTTGGAATTGTTGGTGCAGGTCAGTCTCTTGCTGCACTCCCAATCTTCGGGTTTAGACTTGGTGGTCTTACCCACCGATCAGCAGGTAGGGTTTTCATGGACCACGTGTGAGCGCCGCTTTTCTGTATAGTTAATGCGAGATTTGCTTGAGCCCTCAATATCCTAAATGGGCTGCCTGCGGGCTTTCAAGCTTGACTTGACTGACTTGACTTGACTAGAATCCGGGGTTACGGTATGTTACGGTGCCCGGAGGAGCGATTAGAGGGTCAAGGCATGCGCCTGTCTTGTCAAAGGTGGAGTCAATATGAAGGATGATAGAATGTCGAAACCACAGGCATGCACAATGAAAACATATTTGTCTACGACGGAAGAGCATGGATAATGCGTTGTATCCCACAGAGAGAGAAGGTTCTTTGCTTTGGATGAGCGAGCCATGGCGGTCGGATCCCCACGCTTAGCGTCGGTGCTCACGTCAAAGCCCGGTGAACCATTTCAGTCAGATGCGACTCAGCTACAATGTCTTGCGTGGTTGTGAACTGTAATCCAAAGTTTTCTCGGACATTTGACAGCATAGCTGTGCCAGGATTTCCCCTACAAAGCCAACAGCATCTCCAGCCAATGTGCGACACCGCGGAGAAATGTATCCGCTGCGCCACTTGGTTGGTTGATTGGAATCTGGGTGCGTGTAGGACATGATGGACGTTGACTCTCCTCCTGGCCAAGTTGATCCAGTGGTCCTCCCCAGGTTTTCCCTGAATGGTGAAACATTGTGAATATGGTTCTGTAAGGCTTACAGTCAACGCTCGCCTTGGTGCGGCCCATTGCGAACAGTGGAAAAGCGCGCACAACGCGTAGGCCCAAAGCCAAGGGCATTTTTGCCGTAAAACCCGGAGCTTTCAGCCCTTGAGCATGTCTTGGGTTCTTTGGGTCTCAAGGATGCAGCTGCAGGCACATGGCTTGGAGCTTTACTGTGAACTGTGGAAATCTAAACCGGGCATTGTTTTTCAAGCAAATCATTGGGGATAAAAAACATGGAAAGGGTTTACCGTTCGGCGTTCAATGGGGGAAACGGATATGCAATGTAGGGCGCTGCACAAATATGGCACAGGTGACGCAGTTATAAAGAGAAACGCGAGAGAATTCGCGGGATCGAGCAAAATCTTCACGTATCGTGATTCAGCATGACAAACGCGAGAGAATGCGCTGGGTCAAACAGAATTTTCAATCATAGCACAAGAGAGTCTGTCCTTGAACAACCGTTGATGGTCAGTACATATATACACTACAAACGGCCAGGCACATTGGCCGCCGAACAATCCAGTACTACGCTCATAGCTGCAAGCCCATAGCACAAGGTACCCAGTTTCGGTGCGTGCATCTCGGTGCGCTCGGTTATAGCCAGGGGCTTGGAAGATGAATGCTCTGTACGTGCGTCTCGGTGGCTTCGATGATGAATGTTCGGTACATGCATTTCGGTGAGCCAAGATGAACGTTCGGTGCGTGCATTTCGTTGTGCTCGGTTAGCCAGGGGCTTCGCAGATTTGAATGGCCCATGCGTTCTTTGGGGAATCCAACATACATACTTACTGGATTTCCGTTGGTTTGCCAGGGCCAGGTTGACCCGAGCCATTTTGGCTCAAGTTCAAGGCTCAAGGCTTCAGGATTCAGGCTTTAGATAGAGATCGGCACTCTTCACTTTGAAGACCGCCGTGAAGTAGCTGGAATGGCAAGCCCCAGTACCTCTCCTCAGCGCAAGAAACATTGTGTACAACCTATTACCGATGATCCGGATGAGGAACTTGATAAGCTCCTCAATGCTGGCCAGTCATCCACCGTGGCTACTACTGAGGACGCACCTGCGTGGGCCATTGCTATGCAGTCCACTTTACAGTTGCAGATCCAACGCAGTCATAACCTCATGATCTCATTCCACGATCGCCTGCAGAAGCTCGAAGCCGGTGAAGAAAATCAGGAAATGGCAGAAAGAATCAGCAAACTGGAGAACACGGTCAAAGAGCTGCTTGAGAAGGGTGGTGAAGGAAAAGCTTCATTCAACAGAGTTCCTCCTCCTGGTCAGCATGATCAGAAATCATCTCCTTTGTTCACTCCGGTTGCGCAGCATGGTCCGAATCGTGGAGCCTTAAGCGAGACTCATGCTGACTATTGTCATCTCATCATCGGAGGCTGGGACGATGGTTCCAAGAGGGATGAGATTCTAAAATCGGCTCGACGAGTTTTGGATCTTCACCAGCCCCCCCTGGAAATCCAAGATTTGGTCGTCTACGGCAAAAGATCCACCATTTCCCACCTATATCTTCCTCCGATGGAGCACCAGATGGCATACGAGCGATATGCCACTATCCGTGAGCAGTTGCATGACCGCCACCCTACTTCAGACAGAGATGGTGCCACAAAGATGTGGTTCGCTGCCAGCAAGCCCAAGGAAGTCCGCATGCGCAATCGGAAGATTATGAAGGCACGCGTCATCCTAGAGGATCTTGTTCGCGAATCCGGGGTTCAGTGCGAGATTGACATTGAGTGGAGCAAGGGCCTTATCTGGGGTGGAAGCTACCGCATTGCATCGGACACAAGGGAGACGCTCATGCCTAACCCCGAGGATTGTCTCATCTCCTTCTCCACTGATGACACGCAACCGCACGCCATGTTCTTTTTCAGCCTTACAAAGATCGCCAGTCTGCTTGGAAAAAGCCAGGTGGATGTTGAGAAAGGCCTTTTCTCTAGGCAGTGAGGAGCGCCATCTTCCCAGCCTACGAGTCTTTGCCACCTCGTGCAATCGTGTACGTGGAATGTGCAGGGTAAAGACATCTATCATGCAAGCCACCATATTAATTTGGACCACTTCCCTGAAATAATATTTCTGCAGGAGGTGGGCGGCAGTGCAGACATTCCATCAGTACAGCCCGTCGGCCAAAAGCCGGGGAGTGTATGCCTAGCCGAATCTTCGACTCCGGATATACGAGAGGTTGTCATGGGTCGCGATGACGATTGGTGCCACTACAGGGTCTTTGTGGGTCGTACTCAATCTCATCTTGCACAAGTGATTGCTGTTGATTCTGAAGAAGTGGAGTCGATTGCATTCTTCACCAGTGGCATGAGATATATTGCAGTGGGATTGAAGGCCTGCCATTTCGTCAACAGTTTAATCCTTATTTCTGTACACTTGCCCCATGTTGGTGATGGAATTGATGTATTTCAACATGCATGTGATGAACTCATTTCCTTTATTCTTCGATACCCGCACTACAACTTTATTATAGGAGGAGACTGGAATTGTCAGCCTGGAGATGACCGACATGATCGCATTGCCATCCCCCTTTGCCTTTGCGGTTTTCAGATTCACTACCCTGATGAGAATACCCGAATTGGCAGACATTCAAGCAGATGCCTGGATTATTTTGTGTGTGGTGGCCCGGAGCTCTCTGGAACTCAGAGTTCTCTCCGATACAGCCCCGCCGTGTCGTGTGTTGCGGATTCTCACATCTCCTTAGGTTCTGACCACCTTTGTGTCATGTGTGATTTCGTATTTCAAGGTACTTCTGCTTCAATGCACAGTCGACGCAAGCGACATTTCAAGCGATGTCATAAGTGGTGCATCGACAACTCACAGATTTCGCAACACCTGCCTTCGAAGTATGACTTTTCTTTGATGCCCCTGGAAAAACAATGGGAGTTCCTGAAAGATCTATCGCATAAAGCTTCATATAGAAAGCCTGGCATGAAGTTTGTCGACTCACCTGGTCTTAAAGAGTTGTGTCGCAAAAGGAGACTTGCCGAGAACCCCGAAATCCGACTTGCGCTTACGAGAGCCGTTTTGGCCAGGAGGCAGATCGAGAAGGAATCTTGGACAAAATCCATTTTGGACATGGCGGTTAAAGGAAACTTTGACGCCATTCATAATATCTTTCATCAGCATCGCGATAAGGTTTCCTTTGATGAAGCGATAGCAGCATACGGCAATAAGCAGTCCTTTGTCAATGCAGTGCACGACTTCTTCGTTCACAAAGCTGGCGCAGGGGATGGTGACACTGTCCACGCGGAGAACCCTCGGCATGTGCCAGACTTCGCTTCCGTGTCTGACTTCACAGAAGATGAGATCTTACGCGCCGTGCACCGACTCAAGCCAGGTAAAACAGCAGGTCCATCTGGTTGTTCTGCGGACTTTCTCAAGGCGCTATGTTCTGCAGGCCCTGGTCTTCAACTCTTACAGTCCCATCTCAACCTCATACTGCGAAACTGCCCTTTGGATGAGCAACGTGTTGCGGAGCTTATCCTGGTGCCGAAACTGCTACACATTGGTAGTGTGGATCAGTTCAGACCTATAGCGCTCATGGAGTGCATACACAAACTGTACATGGCACTGCTGGTTCATAGAATTCAACCTACGTGGGATGAACCTCGTTTCCAGATGGGTGGTTACCCAGGCAGCCAAGTTCTATCGGCTCTTTTTTGTGCCACGGCTCAACTGGAAAAACAGTCCCTGGAAGGTAAACATGGGATCTGGATCTCTGCTGACATAAAGTCAGCTTTCGATACGGTGTCTTGGTCCAAACTGGAAAGCTCTCTATATGACAATACTCCTGACGCGGTGTACCCGGAGCTCCAGCGACTTTTACATGAGATCAAGTCACATCACATTTCGCTGCACTGGGAAGGTCGGAAGTCCCATATCCCGCTTGCAAGGGGAGTCCTTCAAGGTGGTACTCACAGTGCACAAGTCTTCTCGATGATGATGGAGGCCTTGTTCACGGAGCTCTACAAACGTTGGAGTCATGAACACCCTGGGGAAGTACGTGGGTGGTGCTATATTGATGACTGCTTGCTCTGGTTCTCCTCGTGGAATGTTCTCCAGTCAGTCTACCCGTGGCTCCTCGAGCGTTTCGCTGAGTATGGTTTTGCCTTTAACCCAAGAAAGTCCGTTCTATGCAGCACTGTGGAAGGCCTGCGCAAGGGAAACGCATGCCGGCCTCACCTCCACCCTGACCTTCAAACCTTTCAATGGTCTACTTCCTTCAAATACCTCGGGCTCCATTTGGAAATCCCCTCTCTGTATTTGGAAGACGGGGAGAACCTCACGGCCTCCCTCTTCAAGCAGGCCAAAAGCAGAGTAATTGGGACAGTGAGGACTCTGAAGCAACTCCTGGCAAAACAACACCATGCAAGGTGGTACACGGCTGTTCAGTTGCTGAACGTTTTCGTAGCGAGCAAGTGGCTGTGGATGTGTCCTTGTATGCACCCTACTCGTGCTAAGTTGGACGATGTGCAGTCACTGCAGTTGGGTATTTTGTGCTCGGTCCTCAATCTCTATGTCCCGGACGGCCTTCAGCTCGATCGACGCCAGGCATTACATCGCATTCGCCGGCGCGCCGTCTTGGAACTGCTTAGACTGCAGTGCCCAACCATGCAATGGACTTGGAGTTGGATCAGTCGCAAATGGTGCTTCCTTGGCCATTTGTTACGCCGTCCCTGCCAACACCAGGCCACGGCTACATTGTTGGAGCCCATCAAGCAAGTCCGAAGCGGTAGGGCAGTCACGGGAGGACGCTGGCTTGTATCTACCTTCAAGGCCATCGGCTACCAAGTAGAAGATGTAGAGGCATTGTACAATCTCTATTGGACCAAGGAGGACTGGTCTGAACATTTGCCTCAAGTAATGAAGGCGCATCAAATTCCTGTGCCAAGTCTTCTTCCGGAATGGAAGGCGAGTACATGGAGTCGCTGGAACCATGCCTTTACTCACGACGTGTCCTGGTTCGGCACCTCTGTTGTAGTCCAAACGCCTGACTGCATTAACTTCAAGTGGTTGCAACCGGAGCACGGCTGGATGCAACATAGCGTTTCAGGGACATGGGAGACGGCTATCCAGGATCATTGCCGTTGGCATGCAATGTCACAGACGCGCCCTTTGTTCACGATCCAACTGATGTTCTCTGAGACTTCACATCCTGAAACCAAGTTGAGTGTGCAGCAAGCGGTGCATGCGCTATATGTCAATCGCACTGAGTGTCGTGAATTGGTTCCTGTCATCTTGTTGGAGATTGTTCCTGAGTCGTGGGTTAACACTATCTATGGTCTGTAGTTGGATTGCACCGCTTAACATGGGCGGTGGGGCGCTGCTCAGAGAGCACTGCCTATCGGGCTGCAGACGGCAGCTGACGGATTCCCGAGTCTGCGAGAGAGAGAGAGAGGTTGACCCGAGCATTCCTTCGCCCAATGCTTTGGTGCTGTCCAACAAGACATTCCGCCCACAACGTTACTGGGGAATTCTGATGTGGTACCTTCGCTTGAACCGGTGCGTTCATTGGGGCGTAGATGTATTTGGAAGGGGTGGTTTCGACTTCCGTTGTCGCCCGTAGGGCTTAAAGAATGTTTCGGATTTGGTCTCCGGCAAAAAAAAAACGTTCAAAGCTCAAGTGTTGGTTCTTAAAAAGAAGCCGCAGCCGCAGGGGTTTTTCTATGGAAAGGGGAAGTATGCCTGAAGTGAGGTTCCAAGCGTTGATGGACCAGTTGGCAGAGCAGCATGCCCAGGACAATGCTACGTGCATTGTTTTCTCCATGCACCCGTGATGTGTCGCAGGAGTTGGAAGCGACGGCACAATTGATGCAACACGCACGTGCTGCCTCGGACAACTCAGCAACACAGCCTCCCAAAGAACGTCGGGACACATGGCAGTTTGTTGAAGCAATTTTCCATTCGTGCCTGGGGGTGCATATGTGCATCCTTTGTGACCAATCGCATGTTACGAACTGAACCGAGGAATCTCGCCACAGTTCAGCTTCTAGAACTTCGGATGAAAAACGGCGCACTCTGGCCAGGAGCGGCACAGTGGCCGCCCAGGTGATGTGCAAGTACCACCAAGACATCCCAGAGGTGCACGCGGAAAAAATCCTGGACGCATTGGACCATAACGTGGCCTGGCATCAACCTTCGTCCAACATGCGTTCGCCTATATGTTCACTTCGTGGTCGTACGGTCCCTCAAACCTAAACCCTAAACCCTAAATTTGTTCGGAGGAAGACGACGATGCTTATCAGCCAGTCCTCAAGTTCAGGCGCGCCTTATCAGCTGGTTTGCAGCCAGATGCTCGTGTCTTAGGGATTAGTGTTTAGTGTTTAGGGTTTCGGGTTTAGGGTTTAGGGTTTTGGGTTTTGGGTTTAGGATTTAGGGTTTAGGGTTTCCTTTCTGGAAGCCACTTGTGCAGGGAGAGCCGTACGATGGCTGGGGATGGCTTCATGCTCGAAACGGCAGCTTGGTCGTGTGTGTGTGTGTGTGTGTGTGTGTGTGTGTGTGTGTGTGTCTCTGTGTGTGTCTGTGTGTGTGTGTGTGTGTGTCTGTGTGTGTCTGTGTGTGTGTGTGTGAGTGAGATTTTTTTTAACGCTCCTTTTTCCCGCCGATGATCCAAGGGTCGGTGCTTCTGGTTATTTTGGTTTGTGCTTGCCGTTTGTTTTTCTTTGGCACGTCATTTAGCAGGGCATCCCCTAGAACCATGCAAGGAGTCGGAATATCTTCGGCGACTGAGCCAGATGACGCGCCTGGAAAAAGTTCAGCGCGCGCTTCAATCCCCGCAGCAGGGAGCCCAGAAGCGGTTCCATCAGCGGCCGGTCACCTTCGGGGCTCAATGTGCAAATTGAGCTACGAAGGTATGAGATGTTTATGGCCTTCGTTTTATGCTTGAACGTTACTTGGTTTGAATGGTTTAGTTCCAGTGCACATGTTGTGCCCGTTTGTGCAAGAAATCCAGGAACTGCAACGCTATTTGGCACAACCAAGCGAGGTTGTATGGATGGCTGTCGAGTTGCAGCTGGAAGGTACTGTTACAGGGCAAGGTCTCGATTTTTGGCCAGGACTCGCGGCGAGTTGCTTTCTGCAAGCGACGAAGTCTAGAGGCACGCTAGAATCAGCTAGCCTGGACAGGAATGACGGACCATCTGAGTCAATCCCGGCCAACTTGGGATTCTGTCCTCCTCATTGGTGAGATGTGCTTCACTTCTTTCTTCGCTTTGGACGTCATTTGCCGAATGTGCCTTTTGCGGGGCTTATTTTGGAAATCTTGGCTAAACTACCTCGACGTGGCAGTCAGCATCACCTCTATTGTGGAGCTTTCGGTGACAGTTGCTTTGGCTGAACGCATCGATAAGCGCTTCGACGATTTAGGCATGTTTAGGATTGTTTAGGCCAAGCACAGACATTCTTTTCTTTTGGAATTCAGGATTTTGGTATGTGCATTCGCGTTGATGGCAAATGGTAGGCGTGCCCCTAGGGTTTAGGGTTTAGGGTTTAGGGTTTGGGGTTTAGGGTTTAGGGATCCGATTTCCCAGGTCTCGGCACAGCTGCCCGTCAGCCCGGTGCTGTTCCGCCTCCTTCGCTTGGGCAAGCTTGCGCGGGCCATCCGCGTAGTGTCGATGATCCTTGTCATAGCCATGATAGGGCTCTTAAGGGGCTTGTAAGTGTTACTGAGAAGTAAGTTCATATCTCTTCTCCGACACATCAACAGTTTTTCCCAAACATAGTTGTGACATGGGTGGCAAAATCCGAGCACTCTACAATTCTTGCATGTTCTGTTTCATCCTGGGATCCTGTTTTGCGACCGCTGCTCAGGTCCAGCGTGCTGGCATCATTGCAGCTGCTGGTTAAATGCCTGGCATCCAGCAGCACGGTCTTGCACGAAGATTTGTTGGTGGTTGCTGGTGTTTCTTGATTTATTTATTTCGTTGTTTCTTGTATTTTCTTCTTCCATTCCTTCCGCTTTTGTATCTCGTTGCCTCTCGTTTTCTCATCTCGTTGTCTTTTTCGCTTTCTCTCTTTAGGTAGCTCTTTTCTTTGTCTTTAACGCTGTTTTGTCTTTCATTCTTTCTTCATTTCAGTCTTTGTGCCCGAATGTCTCTGGTTTCTGCATTTCCGTTTTCGGTCTGCTTTCTTTTGGTTTATGCATCTGCTGCTTTTGCTCTTTGTTTTTTTGCTTGCCACTAAACCCTAAACACTTAATCCCAAACCCCGAGCCCGAAGCCCAAAACCTTAACCCCGAAAACCTAAACCTTAAATTCCCAAAACTCAACAACAAAGTCGCGCAAGGGCGCAAGCGCGATCAACCACAAAAGGGTGGAGTTGGCACCTTCTCTGTGTCTCTGTGTGTGTGTGTGTGTGTGCGCGCGTGTGTGTGTGTGTGTGTCTCTCTCTCTCTCTCTCTCTCTCTCTCTCTCTCTCTCTCTCTCTCTCTCTCTCTAAGAACGTTCTGAAAGCTAGTTGTCCGTAAGGCCGAGATATGCTGTTTTGGAGCTTCTGCCTGTTGACCTTTGTGCAATGCGTGGCCGGGATGATTTTGAGCACGCTCTGCAGCGATTTCATCAATGACCCAGGCGGGGGGGCCCTTGCGCAAAAATTTGGGCTAATTCTAAAGCCAGTCATAGAAGCCATCCATTAGCAATCCATGGTTTCAGTCTGTATGCTTTAGCATCGCTGTAGAGAAAAGCGCATCTTGCAGAGTGGCGAGGGTGCGGTGTGGTGTTGGTGCTGGTGCGGCTTCTGCCGTTTCTTCTGCTGCTACTGTGTGCTGCTGCTGCTGGCTGCTTCTTCTGCTGCTGCTGCTGCTGCTGCCGCTGCCGCTGCCCCTACCCCTGCTGCTGCCCTACCCCTGCTGCTGCCGCCGCTGCTGCTGCGGCGGCGGAGGCGGTGAAGGTGGCTTAGAAGTGGCTGAATGTGTAGCGACAAGTATTGTGCGCAGCTTTCGCGAGGCAGAAACCTCGAGATTCGGAAGGAAGTGTCTCGCTTGCAATGGTTCAGCACCCGGAGCTCATGCAAGCCATAGTTCAGGCTTCTCCTCTGAGGAAGGGTCGCCAAGCATGCAGCGCTTTGACCAAATTTTTCGTTTTGCAAATATCTGTGGCCAGGTGTTTCTTCACTATGGTACATTTACGCGAACATTCCTCTCCATGTTTGAGATACTCTTTGCCAATTGGAGCCCACCGTGCAGAGTACTGGTGGAGAACGTCAGCGAATGGTTCTCAGTTTTCTTCCTGCTGTACCGATGTGTGCTTGGGTTCGCCGTGTCGCTCGCATCTCATGGTGGTGTCAAAACAATAGATATACATGTTTTTTTGACATTTCGTGAAGAGTTGAAGAGGTCTGGTTTGGCACGCTGACAATTTTTGCGGATTCCACCCACAACCATCCAAGGCTGAACGTGGTGAACAGTGTTTTTGTGCAGCAGACAATGAAAACGGCCAGTTCCGATGAGGAGCTAGCCTTCAAACAAAAGCAAAGGGATGTGGACATGTACACGAAGAAGGTTCGGAAGTTGTTCTCAACTATGGACGCATCTGGCGATGGTGCCATCAACTTGCAAGAGTTTGCCAAGCTTGTGCAGTCACCGAAGCTGCGTTTCTGGATGAGTCAGCTTGAGCTGGAGTACCATGATCTCCTGAGCCTTTTTGAGTTTCTTGACAATGGTGACGGGCAAATCACATTGCCTCTTGGATTGCTTAGCCAGCGGTGATCTCCAAGAGCTTTGATTAGGTCAGTGGTGTCTGTCCTTGATAAGCAATGGGGAGCGAAGTGACTGAACGGACCCGACAAATACCAACTGAATAAGCTAATTAATAGCTAATTATGTAGGGGTACTTTTTCTATTTCATGTTGCTTGGTTTAACCCTGTTCTCCACAAGAATTCGTGCAACATGAGAACCACGGAGAAGCCCACAGTGTCAGGCAGTTGCGCGTGATTCTGTGAGTGTGGCATGGCCATTCGCACCATCATCTGTTGGCGGAATACAAAGCTTAGCATGTTACTACACGCTCGTTGCATATCTTCTTGAATTCCATGGGGCGGTTAGAATATTCGCCACTGGCTATCGGCCCACTTCCCTCAGTCCGTAGTAGCGCTTTGAGATTGTCTGTTGCGAAGCACATTGTTGTCCATGGAGGCAGTGTTCAAGGGTCAGCTAGTCCTCTCCCACATGGGTGGTTGTCAAAATTATGGTCCCTCTCTGGATCCCTACTATGATACGGCGCCTAATATTTAGGGTACCCTAGAAGGGATCATAAGTTTGACAACCACCCACATGGCTTGTGCTGTGCCAGGACTGAGTTCATCGAAGGAGCGGCCCGCCTGAAAGGCAGCGCAAAGGCATTAGATGTTTGGCGCATGGAGTGCAAGATCGAAGTCTTGTTTCCAGCCACAATTGGAAAGCAGTGTGGCGTTTCGCACCGTGTAGTTTGCAGAAGCTGGTAATCATGCCTGAGGAGTTTTAAGTTGGGTTGCACCTCCCGTCTAGGTTCGAGGAAGTGCTCAATCATCTAAGAGGGGGTCCTCCACGAGGAAGCAATCCAATGTCTCCTGCACAGAGCGAGGGGGACTTCGGTATGGAAACCGCAGGCGCGGCTTTCCCAATGAACTTTCAATACTTTGCGATTAGATTGGCTTCCACAGCCCGTTTAGGATGGGAGTGCTTGGTTTTAGCAACTCAGGAGTCGTGGAGGGCATCTTTGCACTCTCTGGCTACCAGCACATGTCTCTTTGTCAGCGAGATTGGCATGCGCGCGACAGAAGTCACAAGCAGTTGGGTCATACAAATATAAATATCTAAATATAAGTATATAAATATATAAATTTATTTATATATAGATATATAAATATATTTATATATAGATATATAGATATATAAATATATAAATATGTAAATATATAAATTTATTTATATATAGATATATAAATATATTTATATATAGATATATAAATATATAAATATATAAATATATAAATATATAAATATATAAATAGATAAATAGATAAAAGATAAATATTAAATATTTAATAAATATATAAAATATAAATATAATATATAAATATATAAAATATATAAATATATAAAATATATAAAATATAATAAATATAAATATATATATAAAATATATAATATATATATAAAATTATATAAATATATAAATATATTAAATATTATACTACGTCGTAAAAATATATAAATCTATCTATAAATATGTTAAATATGTAAATATGGTAAATATGTAATATGTAAATATGTAAATATGTAAATGTAAAAATATGTAATATGTAATATGTAAATATGTAAATATGTAACTATGTAATGAACAAACATGTACAATATAAATATATAAACAAAGAAACATATCAACATATAACATATAAACATATATAAACATATAATATATAAATATATAAATATTATAAATATCTATAAAATATAAATATATAAATATATAAATATATAATATATATTAAAATATATAAATATATAAATATATAAAGATATTTAAATATATAAATATAAAAAATATATAAATATGTAAATATATAAATATATAAATATAAAATATATATAAAGATAACATATAAAATATATATAATATAAAATATATAAATATATAAATATAGATAAATACAAATATATAATATATAAATATATAAATATATAAATATATAAATATATAAATATATAAATATATAAATATATATATATATAAATATATATAATCTATACATCTATAAATCTGTAAATCTATAAATCTGTAAATCTATAAATATATAAATATATAAATATATAAATATATACATATATAAATACATACATATATAAATATATAAATATATAAATTATCAATATATAAGTATATCATGTATAGTGAATATGCAATATATAAATATAATAAATATATAAATATCGAAATTTGTAAATATATATCATTATATATATATAAATAAGCAAATAAATAAATAAAAAATATATGATGCTACCCCCCCCCCCCAGCGACCTACCCTTTTTAGGCCTTTTTAGGCCTTTTTAACAAAAAACAACAAAGAAGGCCCAAAAGTCGCGTAGTTAATCACCGGGTAATGAAGGACAGTTACTGGGACACCCACCTCACAGACCCCGATAAGCCAGCATTTGGAAGAATCTACATTTTGAATCTGAAGCGGACAATGCTGTTTTTAGATGTTTAGATCAGTGTTTTTCTATGCAAATTGTGCGTTTTAAAGGGCAATTAATGTTTTGTTGAGCAACTAATTTATTTATACAATTGTGTTTGTACGAGGCAAAGTATTAATCAAATAGTGAAACATTTTTCTTGGTTCTATGCGAATTTAGCTACTAGAGTAATTATTAAGCAAAGAGCCCAATTTGACTCGAGTGAATACCATTTAAGGGAGCATACTCAACCAAGATACGAAATAGACACCATTCCCAACCAAAATATGGCAAAGTGTGGGTTTAAAGTGCAAATACTGTATTTATACAATTGTGCTTGTACTAGGCAAAGTATGCTCTCTGAAAAGTCCACTGAAATACCTTATGTTTACATATTCATGAATCGTTTTTATTTTTGAAATAATCATTTTATGCGAATTTAGCTACTAGAGTAATTATTAAGCAAATAGCCCAATTTGACTCAAGTGAATACCATTTAAAGGACCATACTCAACCAAAATACGAAATAAGCACCATATACAACCAACATATGGCAAAGTGTGGTTTAAAGGGCAAATAGTGCTTTGTTGAGCAACTAATGCATTGAAACAGTTGTGTTTATACCAGGCAAAGTATTATTGAAATACTATCTGCAAAGTCAAATGAAACACCTTATGTTTACATATTCATGAAACAATTTTTTTTGAAGTATTCATTCTATGCGAATTTAACTACTAGAGGAATTCTTAAGCAAATAGCCCAATTTGACTCAAGTGAATACTATTTAAAGGACCATACTCAACCAAATACGAAATAAACACTTGCGGAAATGGAAACGGTTCTACCTACATAACAATGAGACAAAGATTGCTGAAGTATTCACTAAAGACCACTTGTATACTATGTCTGAAAAGCACAATTTGCATAAGCAAGCTTAAAAATGCACAATAATGGAAATCGGTTCTACTTACATAACGATGAAACAAAGATGTCTGAAGTATTCAATAAAGACCACATATATACTATGCTTGAAAAACGCAACTTGCACAATCAGGCTTAAAAAATGCACAAGAATCCTAGAAAAGTACTTCTAAAGTGAAGGCCATACCACAAGCAAATTCACAAATACGTAAAAACATCCAAAAGCGCAAGCTTTTCAGGAGAATCTCTGGTGAAGTTTGGATTATAGGGTTTTGGGGTATCCCTGGACGAGTAGGAGTCACTTTTTAAGCAAACAATTCTAAGCAATAAATGCTTTTTCTCAAGACAAGTATTGCAAATGCTGCTTCTAGATAATTAATCGCATTTACCAGGCAAATATTATCCATGCGAATTTAGCTACCAGAGCACCAAGTAATGGCTGAATAAGGTCTACTACACTTGAGTGCAACCAAAAGATGCACTAAACACTAGCGGCTCTACTTACATAATAACGAAACAAAAAGTTCTGAAGCACTAGAAAGACCACTTGTATACTATTTTTGAAAAGCACAATTAGCATAAGCACACTTAAAAATGCGTAGTTGTTGCCTCGTGACCGTGAAGGCGAACCAAAAAGCCAAAATACCAAAACCAAAAAACCAAAAATACCAAAACCAAAAAAAAAAAAACCAAAAAAAAAAACCAAAAATACCAAAAAAACCAATTTTCTGGGGCTCTTGGAGAAGCCTCATAGGAATTTCCTGAGAGTCCCGGAAAATTGTTTTTTTGGTATTTTTGTTTTTTTGGTTTTGGTTTTTTTGGTTTTTTTGGTTTTGTTTTTTTGGTTTTTTTGGTTTTGGTTTTTTGGTTTTTTTGGTTTTGGTATTTTTGGTTTTTCTACTGTCCCGTGTATGCGATTTTAGTTGTATTTTAGTCTACGCCCTAGGAAATACGCTATATTGCACACCGAGTTTGCTTGCAGTGCAGCTGTGACTTGAGACAAGGCGAAAAAGGGTAGGTCACTGGGGGGGGGGGGTACCATATATATATATATATATATATATTCAAATAAATTAATATAAACAAATAAATTAGAACAAAATATTCTGAACATCTACTCGCATCTGTCTCTCCTTCCAACTACAGTCACTCCCTGGCCAATATCAGATGTTTGCAACAATGGAATTCTCGAGCACGTTCATGGGCACATCGTACCTGCAGAAGCAAGAGGGCTTTACATCGACAAGGAACAATCTCTTTAGACTTTCTTCGGTGCAAATGCCGAGGAAATCAACAGGGCGAAGGACATCCGTCTCACAGATTTCAGAGATAGAGCCTTTCGATGAGGAAGCCGAATAAACTGCCACATGCCGCCAGTACAGTTTGCATGTTCACGTTCAGCAGCAAGATTTCCCCACGCGTGCCAAGCTCCGTGGGCATGTATGGTTTCACTCTGTGCGCGTTCATGTGTGCGCGTGCGTAGGCGTAAAGCGTTCTTTGCTCATACAAGAAAAGGAGTTGCATTTGCTGCATGCAGAGCCAGGGTTTGGTTTCCTTTGTTCCAAAATGGGGGTTTACCAAGCAAGATCCCCAAAGAATAGGATCCCCTTCTTGCAATAAGGGCCCCAAT